GGCGGTTTGCCCTATCATGCAGTTTTCGAGTAAATCGCAAGTTGGGTTGACTGTTTATCTGAAAGGGTTGTATTTTTGGAATTTTTCAGTAATCAATGATATTTTTGAACTTTTTTTTTGGTATTTTTGGAAAAATTCCAAAACATTCGGACACACAACTCTGGCACGGTGATCACCATTGTGGTTGTCCCTTCTCGTCTATCCTTCTTCTTGCTTCTGCGAGCTCCCTCTCTGAGCCAAGAGTCGGAGAGTGTGGTTGAGGTTCTCATAGTGGAGCCAAAGGTGTCGGATTACTCCGGGTCATACACCCTCCTGCACACACTTCATAAACCTTAGCTGGGTGCAATATAGAGCAAGTATGTTTTAAAAGTCAAACTCGGGTTGGTCCATGTACTCCTACTTCAGTTGTTTGTAACATTATCTAGCAATCGAGTTTGGTGAAACTATGCACTAAAATTGAAAGTAATTGGAAATATAAATGGTTTTGAACACTAATTGAGAAGGCTTCACCCGGGTGTTGCTCCCCCTAGCTAGTAATCACGATTTGTTGGATGGACCAAATGCAAATGTGTGGTAAAAGCGGTTGTAAAGCATATGGAAGCGCAACAAGTGAACAAGCTTCACTCGCTTGGTCACTAGGCCAAGGGATATCAAATCAAGCTACCAAAGTAGCTCTCTCTGCCAATCGACTAAGGGTTGCTTAGGCTTCTCCCTCGAACAGTAGTCTGGACGGCCAAAATACTACCTACCAAAGGTGCTAACACGTAATAAGAGGTTTGCCCTAATTCGACATATGTAGAGGTGACACTATTTGGCCAAGGAATTCCAGCTTTTAAAAGCCTCTTAGCAAGAAGGGGATTTCCTTCTACCTAGATCAAGTTGGCATAAGAGTTGGAAATGGAAAACACAACACTACCTTCATGAAAATACCTCAAATACTTGTATTAAAATTTAAAACACTACCACACACAAGTCATTCAATCCATACAAACATTCACATAATTCTAGCTAGGGTTTACAAACCCCAAGTGAATAGGAAAATAAGAAAACAATAATTTCTTTTTTATCTCTTGATTTATTTATTTTTATTTAATATAAAGTCATTTAAACCTCCATATGCAATTGCAAGTGAATTGCATTGATGTAGGTGGAATGAAATCAAGTTGATTTATCTTTTTTTTTTTATGTACAATTTTAGAAGAACAACATATTATGATTGTGTTAGGTTATAACTACTTTAGCTTACTTCGACAAATATTTATGCATATTGAAACTTTTTGCGTCGATTTTGTTTAAAATCTTAACTAGTTATATAATATTTCCATAGTGTATAATAGTTCCTTTTTTGTATTGGGTTGGATATTTAATTAAGAGTATCTCCAACCCAACTTAATCCAACTTTAAACAAACCATAAGATTTTAGTTTTTTTTGGGTTGGGTTGGATTTAACATTTTCAAAATTACAATATATGGGTCGGGTGATTAAAATGACTAAATCCGAACCATCCGACCCATGTGAACGACCCACCGACCGGAATCGAAAAAAGGGCGTAATGAAATGAATCGTATGTTCGAGTAGAATGAGACACGGGCTTGGGCTCGGGCTCGCGCTCGGGCTCGGGCTCGGGCTCGCAGAATTCCCATACCTAGAAGGAAATGGACAACGTTACTCCTAAGTCCTAACAATCTGTTCTGTTTCCTCCGTAAACATGGATTACAATTGCCGAATACAAAAGCAACCACCTTCTCCTATATAATAAAGCCAATAATTAAGTTATAATCCTATCCATCGTTCATCAATTTCCGATCGAGAGAAAGCAAAAGCATACGACAAAAGATGGCTTCTTCTTCTTCTTCTAAATACCCCTTCATGCTGCGCTTCTGCAAAAGCCCAGCCGACGAGCCATCCGCCCTCTACCAGCTCTACTCTCCCCCGTCCGGCGCGTGGTACTTCGTCGACGCGCCGCCGGAACTCGACGACGCCCTCATCCACTCCTCCAACCACGGCTGGCTGCTTCTCTCGCAGAGGCAGAACGACCGCTTCTTCTTCTTCCACCCCGCCACCGGAAACACCATCCACCTCCCCGACTGCCACCGCAACAATTGCAGCCGGATGAGCTTCTCGGAGCCGCCGACGTCCCCCGATTGCGTTGTTTTCGCGCTCGAGGAGCCGGAGATGGGCGTGTCCTACGTACCCGTGGCATTCATTCGACGCGGGGAGAGTTGCTGGACGTACAATAACAAGGTCCCCAACAGGACGACGATGAGGAGACTGTGCAACTACGATTTGTACCCCAAACGCTGGTTACCACCGCCGGATGATAATTGCAATGCAAGTAAGAGAACTGGTGGTAGAGGAAAACGGAGGAGGAGGAGGAGGACGCCGCTGTTCAAACTCAGACGGCGCTGCAAGTGCTTGTTGTGGCCCATCAGCTGCATGAGCGGTTTCGAGTGGCCTGAGTCCAGGACCGCCCCTGTTTTCCACAGAGGAGCTTTCTATTGCCTTGACCAGTACGGAAGGCTGGGGGTTTTCAAACCCCCGACCAAGCACCGAGCAACAGCGACGGAACCAGAAATTGAAATAAGGTGTGTCCTCTTCTTAAATCATTTCAAAATATAAAATATTAGTTAATGTTAACTCTTCGTTAGCAATTTTATTAGTAATGCTTATTTGACAATATTATATTGAATTGTAAGAGGCATGTGACGGTCGAACAACAATTTTAGGATTTTAGTTAAGAAAAAGAGTAACATAATTATTAACCATAAACAACAATTAAATAATAAGAAAAGAATTTTAGTGCACTTGCAGAATACTTTTATGTCACTTCAATATGGCGACTTGGCGAGATCAATATGTTTAATGAACGTAGATAGAGATGTATTCTTTTTCTTTTATACTAAAACTTACATGTGTCGAGTGACAGAACCCAAATCCTGGGGATCCGCCGCTGCAAGAAGGAGGCGAGGAAGAAGGAGGAGGCAGAGGGTAGCACGTTGTGGACCCTGCTCGACACCAAACACCCTGCTTTCGTGGCCGACCTTCACAGCGAGAACTACCTCTTGAAGTCCCCGCGCCTAGAAGGAGGAGGAGGAGGAGAAGAGTTGATCTCAATTGTGGTCGGATCGAGAGGGGAGTCTGTTAGGGTTCTCAAGTTCAACGAGAATGTCAAACTGTGGCAATCTGTTTCTGACCTAAAAGGCCGAGTGGCTTTCTTGAGCCCCACGTCAAGTGTGATTATGTCAAGCAAGGAGCTAGGAGTCCCGGGATTGGACAACACCATCCATTTCGCACGATTGCGTGGAAGGAACGGTGTGTTCTACTCACTCTCCACCTCAAAATTCCACTCGATGGGTCACCACCGCGGCAGGGACAAGAAGGGTGCATCAGAGGACTTGGTAGGCACCAACATTCCGTTGAACTGTACCTGGATACCCAATTTCGAGTACCTTTCCGAACGGCAGCTCGACTGGTCGTTGTCGAACCCCGACGAGGAGCAAATAGTTGAAGGAGGCGAAGTCATTAGTGAAGGTGTAGAGGAGGAGAAACAAGAAGAAGGAGAAGAAACAGAGCGACCATGGATTGTAATCTCTCACGGTGGAGAGAAATCAGAAGAAGAGAAGATCACATTCGTCGATTTGGCCACGGGAGTGTACCATTCAAGAGAGACTAGTACAATAGATGAAAGATTGAGAGGGAAAAAACTATACGGCCGCGGTCATGGGATGGTGCTGCTGATGGATCTTGTGGCACGAGACTGTGTTCTGTTCAACACAAAGACTATGTCTTTCGATTCGCTACCGACGTGGGAGGAGAGTGACGACTTCGTCTACCAATGTTGTTTGCTCCACATGGCTCCAACAACCGACGGTGGTGGTTCCGAACTCATCGTCATGGTTTTCGGCGAAGACGACGACTACGAGGGCGTGGCAATGTACTGCCGAGTTGGTGATAAGGAGTGGACGATTAACAAAGGAGGAGCTAGAGTGCTGGGAGCTGCTGCCTGTCAAGGCAAGATCTACGGGTTCGGGACACGTCTGACGTTTCTGGAGATCAAGTTACGACCAAACTACCGGGTCAAAATAGTTGAAGAAGAAAAAGTTGGACTCATTCAACCTACCCCCAAGGCATGCGGGGACATCAGGCGTTATCTGGTCGAATCTTGTGGCGAACTATTATTTTTCCAACAGATTTTGGCTGGAGAACGGTATATCGATCGGGGTGCGAACGTCGTGCTGGATGTCAGAGTGTTTAGGATCGACATCGAGAGGATGCGAATGAAAGAGTTGGAGGATCTCGGGGATCGGGCCTTCTTTTTCAGCTGGTCGCGGAGGACGGATTTCGTCGGGTGGGGTGTGACTACGTTAAACGTTCATTCCACTGGGTCGGGCGGATTCGGATGTCGAGCCAGCAAGTTTGGGTTTAAGAGGAACACGATTTACATGGTGAATCCCCACGACAGCAACCTGTATGTATATGACTATGCAGATCGGAGCGTTCTGGTTACCCCGTCGTGTCCCGAGGTGGAGCATCGTTGTTCAATGCATGATCTTGTCATGTGTCGGTAGTTATAGGTTACTAGAATCAATACCTGCGGCTGCTACACAACGCCGCAGGAACTAAAGTAGCAGTAGTATGATCTTGTGGTAGTCGATTTAAGTAAAACGAAATTGGGTTCGTTGTGCTACTGACAATAGTGTGTGTTTAAAAGATTTGAACGTGTGTACATGAGACTTTCATATCTTGAGTTTCATAGGTAATCAACATAGGAATGTAGCAATCGAAGCTAGAATAGTAGAAATTTAATCCCGCAAAAAATGTTGTGTACCATCGTTCTAATGGGCTCAAGATTAAGTGCTGAAAATATATATGCAACATTAAATAACAATCTTCTTATTTCCAATGAATAGTCGAATAATACACATACTCTAAGTGTTTCCAACGGAATCCAACTTATTAACATAGTTCTACTAAGAAAATACTTACAAATCTCTATTTAGTTATGCATCTGCATTTCTTATTTCAGCGTGTCTTCATTTTTTTGCCTCCCAAAATTGCAACAACATAAACTTCCAGTTTTACGTGTCCAAGTTCAACCTTAGATTCCTTCACCTATTCTTTATTTTGTTTGCCCTTCCATCCGCAATCTTCACCTTCATGCTTCATGCTATTCTACTTGTATTGCATGATCTCATCAATGGCTCACGTGTCCTCTCCCTCTGGGATTACCACGCACCACTTCTGCTCCCCCTTATGTCGTCTTCTACAATTCGTTGTCAGATGTGAAGGCGACGTATGATGAGGCTGTAAGCTCGATTTTTGCCTATGCAAAGAAGAATTTCACGTCACCCAAGTTGAATTGCAGGGGAGTCTAGAAAAAATTGAGATAAAGATTATTTAGTTGGGATACATAATGTATCCACTTTGGGCATGAGGTAGAAGCATTGGTATCATCTCCATTTTCTATTGCAACCGCACATCCAACCAACATTTTAATTTGATATCCTCGGCTGCAAGGTTACAAAATCGCTTGAGTAATAGAAAGTAAATGTGACATAAGTGCTATGCCTGGGCAGGGGAATGGGAAAAGAAAGGGCTCAGAAGAAATAAATTGGGCTATGTTGAGACAAACCTACATGAGTCGTGTCCACAAGGTGGGAAAATCATAGCAACAACATAGATAATCACTCACTATCAATAGGTACTAAAAAGTATTAAGGATTAAGATGTAAATGGCCTATTAATTAGTATGACATTCTTCTAAATGGAAGGTAGAACTTACCATTACTTTGAGGTCAGCGCCCTTTGGCTTCTTAGCAAACTGAATTGCTCTACCCCTGCTGTCTAATTTCGCCAACCCATAATTCGAAGCACGGCTACCAAAGTAGCGCCCAATGTCATATTTGAGCCTAAACAATGTATCGAAAGTCAACTGAAGAGAAACTGTGCGAAAGATCCAACCTTTCACCAACTGCTTCACATGAAATGGTGATTTCCGCATTGCTATCAACATGTTGATGAGTACGTAACAAACTTTTAAGAAAACAGGCCAAAAATGAACAAATGAATTTATGTTTCATGAACAAATGCAATGGCGAATTACCTGCACAAAGTCGATTTAATCCATTCGATAGAGATTATCGACATTCCTGTTCTTTGCATCATACTAAAAAGGTGGATAAATTTTCAGGGTCAGGTGTATCCTAAGACAAAGAAGGATTGATAGTCTTTTTTTTTTTCTTTTTGCAGCAATAATCACCTGAAACACCCTTATGAATTCCCTGATAGCATCAACAGTTCCTTGGAACCAATTCAATTCTACTTTCCCAACGGTTTGAGTTTCTGCTTGAACCTCCACAAATCCATGCCCAAGGTTGATACCATTTCCAAAGTAAATGCGAGCTAAGTGTCTATTTAGTTATATTGAATTGAATTGTGCCAGCACAAAGATCTTGTTTATCCCACTGTTGATGCGATTGCTCATCGGACATCTATCAGGCTGTAGCATCCTCCTACTGCTACTTATTTTTCACAAAACCCAACCAACTCCCAAGTCAAACTAAAGGAAAAGGAGGGCTTATTACAGCTGGAGTTGCAGCCCTTTTGGTGAGAGAGGAAACAACTGAGCTCCTGCCCGCTCCTCCTAGTATTACAGACTGAAGCCACATCTTTCGGATCCACTGTCTTTCTCTACAACTTTGGTTGTGGTTGTAAATTCTAACTTAGAAGAGATCATCCATTTGGAAAACAAAAAAAATATCATCCACATCAAACCAGTGTCGTGTCATTTTGCTCCTCGGAGCTTTAACAGAGCTGCCCATGTAGTGGCTAATCAGGCTCTTTCATCGGGAATCCGCTTGCTTACGGATTACCGTCCTTTTTTGGAGTCTACTTGTATCTGAGTGGAGTCTTTGTCTCATGCCCTCTAGGCTTGCCTTGGAAAAAAAATTGTTATATACGTTTCACGTTGATGTGTGTATAAGAGCATCCACGTCAATGGTATTTTCAATTGCATATCCTACATGGCACTTAATATGCAATTGCAAAGAGGATTGCATCAATATAGTGAGCAATTGCAAAGATGCAAGCTTGCATTAAATGAAATTTAAGATGAAACCACATAGGAAAATAATTAAACAATAATTTCTTTTTATCTCTTGATTTATTTATTTTTATTTAATATAAAGTCATTTAAACCTTCATATGCAATTGCAAGTGAATTGCATTGATGTAGGTGTAATGAAATCAAGTTGATTTATTTTTTTTGTTTTTTACAATTTTAGAAGAACAACATATTATGATTGTGTTAGGTTATAACTACTTTAGCTTACTTCGATAAATATTTATGCATAGTGAAACTTTTTGCGTCGATTTTGTTTAAAATCTTAACTAGTTATATAATATTTTCGTAGTGTATAATAGTTCCTTTTTGTATTGGGTTGGATCTTTAATTAAAAGTATCTCCAACCCAACATAACCCAACTTTAAACAAACCGTAAGGTTTTAGTCTTTTTGGGTTGGGTTGGGTTGGATTTAACATTTTCAAAATCACAATATATGGATCAGGTGATTAAAATGACCAAACCCGAACCACGAACCATATGAACAACCCACCGACCGGAATCGAAAAAGGGCCGAATGAAATGAATCGTATGTTCGAGTAGAATGAGACACGGGCTTGGGCTTGGGCTCGCAGAATTCCCATAGCTAGAAGGAAATGGACAACGTTACTCCCAAGTCCTAACAATCTGTTCCCTCCGTAAACATGGATTACCATTGCCGAATACAAAAGCAGCCACCTTCTCCTATATAACAAAGCCAATAATTAAGTTATAATCCTATCCATCGTTTATCAATTTCCGATCGAGAGAAAGCAAAAGCATACGACAAAAGATGGCTTCTTCTTCTTCGAAATACCCCTTCATGCTGCGCTTCTGCAAAAGCCCAGCCGACGAGCCATCCGCCCTCTACCAGCTCTACTCTGCCCCGTCCGGCGCGTGGTACTTCGTCGACGCGCCGCCGGAACTCGACGACGCCCTCATCCACTCCTCCAACCACGGCTGGCTGCTTCTCTCGCAGAGGCAGAACGGCCGCTTCTTCTTCTACCACCCCGCCACCGGAAACACCATCCACCTCCCCGACTGCCATCGCAACAATTGCAGCCGGATGAGCTTCTCGGCGCCGCCGACGTCCCCCGATTGCGTTGTTTTCGCGCTCGAGGAGCCGGAGATGGGCGGGTCCTACGTACCCGTGGCATTCATTCGACGCGGGGAGAGTTGCTGGACGTACAACAACAAGGTCCCCAACAGGACGACGATGAGGAGACGGTGCAACTACGACTTGTACCCCAAACGCTGGTTACCACCGCCGGATGATAATTGCAATGCAAGTAAGAGAACTGGTGGTAGAGGCAAACGGAGGAGGAGGAGGACGCCGCCGTTCAAACTCAGACGGCGCTGCAAGTGCTTGTTGTGGCCCATCAGCTGCATGAGCGGCTACGAGTGGCCTGAGTCCAGGACCGCCCCTGTTTTCCACAGAGGAGCTTTCTATTGCCTTGACCAGTACGGAAGGCTGGGGGTTTTCAAACCCCCGACCAAGCACCGAGCAACAGCGACGGAACCAGAAATTGAAATAAGGTGTGTCCTCTTCTTAAATCATTTCGAAATATAAAATATTAGTTAATGTTAACTTTTCGTTAGCAGTTTTATTAGTAATGCTTATTTGACAATATTATATTGAATTGTAAGAGACATGTGACGGTGGAACAACAATTTTAGGATTTTAGTTAAGAAAAAGAGTAACATAATTATTAACCATAAACAACAATTAAATAATAAGAAAAGAATTTTAGTGCACTTGCAGAATACTTTTATGTCACTTCAATATGGCGACTTGGCGAGATCAATATGTTTAATGAACGTAGATAGAGATGTATTCTTTTTCTTTTATACTAAAACTTACATGTGTCGAGTGACAGAACCCAAATCCTGGGGATCCGCCGCTGCAAGAAGGAGGCGAGGAAGAAGGAGGAGGCAGAGGGTAGCACGTTGTGGACCCTGCTCGACACCAAACACCCTGCTTTCGTGGCCGACCTTCACAGCGAGAACTACCTCTTGAAGTCCCCGCGCCTAGAAGGAGGAGGAGGAGGAGAAGAGTTGATCTCAATTGTGGTCGGATCGAGAGGGGAGTCTGTTAGGGTTCTCAAGTTCAACGAGAATGTCAAACTGTGGCAATCTGTTTCTGACCTAAAAGGCCGAGTGGCTTTCTTGAGCCCCACGTCAAGTGTGATTATGTCAAGCAAGGAGCTAGGAGTCCCGGGATTGGACAACACCATCCATTTCGCACGATTGCGTGGAAGGAACGGTGTGTTCTACTCACTCTCCACCTCAAAATTCCACTCGATGGGTCACCACCGCGGCAGGGACAAGAAGGGTGCATCAGAGGACTTGGTAGGCACCAACATTCCGTTGAACTGTACCTGGATACCCAATTTCGAGTACCTTTCCGAACGGCAGCTCGACTGGTCGTTGTCGAACCCCGACGAGGAGCAAATAGTTGAAGGAGGCGAAGTCATTAGTGAAGGTGTAGAGGAGGAGAAACAAGAAGAAGGAGAAGAAACAGAGCGACCATGGATTGTAATCTCTCACGGTGGAGAGAAATCAGAAGAAGAGAAGATCACATTCGTCGATTTGGCCACGGGAATGTACCATTCAAGAGAGGCTAGTACGATGGATGAAAGATTGAGAGGGAAAAAACTATACGGCCGCGGTCATGGGATGGTGCTGCTGATGGATCTTGTGGCACGAGACTGTGTTCTGTTCAACACAAAGACTATGTCTTTCGATTCGCTACCGACGTGGGAGGAGAGTGACGACTTCGTCTATCAATGTTGTTTGCTCCACATGGCTCCAACAACCGACGGTGGTGGTTCCGAACTCATCGTCATGGTTTTCGGCGAAGGCGACGACGAGGAGGGCGTGGCAATGTACTGCCGAGTTGGTGATAAGGAGTGGACGATTAACAAAGGAGGAGCTAAAGTGCTGGGAGCTGCTGCCTGTCAAGGCAAGATCTACGGGTTCGGGACACCACCGAGAGAGCGTCTGACGTTTCTGGAGATCAAGTTACGACCAAACTACCGGGTCAAAATAGTTGAAGAAGAAAAAGTTGGACTCATACAACCTTCCATCAAGGCGTGCGGGGACATCAGGCGTTATCTGGTCGAATCTTGTGGCGAACTATTATTTTTCCACCAGCTTTTGGCTGGAGGAGAATATACCAATCGGGGTGCGAACGTCGTGCTGGATGTCAGAGTTTTTAGGATCGACATCGAGGGGATGCGAATGAAAGAGGTGGAGGATCTCGGGGATCGGGCATTCTTTTTCAGTTGGTCGCGGAGGACGGATTTCGTCGGGTGGGGTGTGACTACGTTAAACATCCATTCCACTGGGTCGGGCGGATTCGGATGTCGAGCCAGCAAGTTTGGGTTTAAGAGGAACACGATTTACATGGTGAATCCCCACGACAGCAACCTGTACGTGTATGACTATGCAGATCGGAGCGTTCTGGTTACCTCGTCGTGTCCGGAGGTGGAGCATCGTTGTTCGATGCATGATCTTGTCATGTGTCGGTAGTTATAGGTGTTATGTTTATGACTTTTAATGCAGGTGACCGCTGATGAACTAGCATTGTAGTTTTCTTTTCTCCGTCGACGTACTTGATTATGAACTTTTACAAAGCACGTATCAGGTTAGCCGTCAGGGCTTATTCACTGATATCATAATAGATAGTACCTCCGATTTGTGCCTTGATTAATGTTGTTTTGCTATATCCTTACCTATGCTTGATATAGCATAGTGATTTTTTACTAAAGCACAAGCCTCTGTAGAGACTAAACACATTAATTCCTAGCTTGTTTTAGCATAAATCTGAGCAGAGGGAGGTTTTGGAGGTAAGGTCATCCCGATCTTTCGCGGGCTTGAAAGGAATGGATTTGAGATTTCTTTTGAGAGCCTCAAGCTTCTTCTTTGAAACTTCTTCAACCTGGACACAATTAATCACTTGTTCTTGTTTCGCTTCAAACTAGTGATGGCAACCAGCCCGTGATATTAAACCCACCGTGACGACGGCTCAAATCTCATCGTTTTCAGTCGAGATCACGGGAAGCTAGTTATTTTACGGTCCCAAGACCGTGAAAATGTACCCCGCGTATGATCTCCACCCTCAGGCTATATAAATGGCCCGTGACTTCTTCCCCTTCATGTGACAATCGACCGCCAGAATTCTCTAAACTTCTCGCCGGAAAATGACGCATCCGACGGCTTTTTGAAGTTTTGATCTACTTCCGGCCATCCAAATTAAAAACCAAACCCTTACCCATACTCACCTAGTCTAGGTGCCCCTTGGCTGAAGTTTTGAGGGCGTTTGGCTCAGTTTTTGTAGTCAACAGGTTGCTCCGGTGAAACTCCGCCGAGCTTCAGACGAAGCTCCGGCGACCCCCTCTAGCCACTTTTTTGGCCGATTTTTTATTTCCTCCCCTTCCTTTTTGATCCTACTTGTGTCTCTAGGTGTGTTTTCATCTTTTACTTGTTCAATTTTGGAGAATTGGATCTAGGGTTTTAGGTTGAGGAGAATTGGGAATTGTGCATGAATGATGGAATTGGGTGAGAGAAATGATGAATTATGGTGTATTGCATGTTGTTTAAGTGTTAGAAGGGATTCTTATGCCTTGGTGGGCTTGATTTTACATGTATTGATGATTGAATTAAGGAATGCCTACCAAGAGTTTCTTAAATTGCCTACCCTTGATACACTTTTATGCATGATGAATGGTGGTCACCGAAACATGATCTAGACTTGCAATTTCAACCTACATGATCTATGAAACACCTAGTTTCATGTCTCATTGTGTTTATGAATTGTTTGAGCTTAATTGTTGGTGAACTGAGCTTGTGAAAAGCCTATGAAGGCATGAGGCCAATGTGGAAACATAAGTGTGGAGGAGTTTATTTCCTCCCCAATGTGCACTGTTTGATGATTTGTTTCCATGTATGGTGTGATTTTGTTGGAGTTTTTCAGGATGGCTGATCTGAATCGTGCATACCTCAGAGAGTTTTTCAGGATGGCAGTCACGAGAGAAGTAGTAGCGCACCCCCAGTGGCACCGTTTTCTTGAGATTGAGGACGACATTTTTCTGGAACTCGTCATCGAGTTCTACTACACCTTTACTCTCCATCAAGCCAAGGAATATTACGGCGACCACAACACTCGCATAATTTCCGAATTGGGAGGCATTCCTCATGAAATGGATTTCACGGAGCTCTCGCGAGCTATGGGCTTGGATGCTAGGAATATGACCGATTCTGAGGTGCATTTTATCAAAGACCTTGAATCTCACCATGTGTTTGATAAGTTTTGCCTTCCTCAGCACCAACATATCTGTTTTGATCCTGCGCATACCACGATCGCGACACTTCAGCCCAATGGCGTATCATCAATGCACTCCTTGCATGATCCATCCTCCCAAGCGACCGATCACCCAACAAGGTCACCAAAAGAGCTATGCTTACCTTCACCACCATGTTAAATGAACGGGAGAAGCTCGACATTGGATCATTCTTGGCCAATTCATTTGCAAAGACGATAGGCAATCGGCGTAACCGTATCATGTATTTGGGACCTTACATCACCAGGCTTGCTCGACATTTCAATGTCGACCTCAGTTGTTGCACCAAGGTGGGCTCTACAACAAATTTCCCGGAGGAGACATTGAGATCAATGCACTTACTCCGAGTGTTTGGACCTTACCGATACATTGAAGGCCTGTTCACACCACCAGAGGCACCACCTAGAGGACCTCACCAGCCACCACGTCCTCGTGGTCATGCCGGGACATCTTCATCGGGAGTTGGATCATCTTCCTCGGCCAACCTAGAGGGTTGTGTGACCGCCCTTGAGGGCCAGTTTGCAGGAGTTTCTTCCCAACTCGCCTGAGAGTAAGACGCTCGGCATCATTCTCACCACCTGCTCGAGGAGTTTGCACGTGTTCGGGGTATCAAGCCCATGGATAGTTGGCGGCCATCTCCGACTCGCGAGAGGTAGACGACACTTGTGAGCCATTTTGGCTTAGTAGTTCTTTCACCCCACTTCTACACTTTGACTCTGCACTTTGTTTTCTATTCCTTCTATGTGTTAAACTCGTACTATTGTGTTTTCTTTTACTTTAATTTGTGATGTTAAGTACTATTATTGTGTAATAACCTCGCCTTGTGCAATTGTGTGTGTGCATGTTTTTTTTCTTTCTCCTTGTGAAGCTCTCTCCTCTTCAATACTGGTCTAATATTTGACTTTCACTTGCCTAATGTTCGGTAACTTCTTCAATACCGGTCTAATATTGGTCTAAGATTCTAAGATTCGACTTTTATTGGTTGTATTATAAACATAATATTCAGAATGACTATCATATCTTTTTATTTATTTTACACTAGGTCAACCTAACTAATAAAAAAAAGTAAACACAATCCTCTTTTCCTATTGGTTAGATACTAATATTATCACCCTAACAATACAATACTTCGAAAGTAGCTGCTTCAGCTTCAGCCACTCGAATTTTCGATATTCCTTTTTATTTCTCATCAAACGAATGGGTGTATTGTATCCTCTCTAGGGATGGCAATTACCCACCCATAGGTAATTATACCTAAATCCAAGTTGGCCCATTGATAATTGGTAGGGTATGGATGAGGTCTATATGGGTTTGGATAAGGTATGGATATTGCTTCCATAATCTAAATGAGTATAGTTTGGATATGGATATCCATTTACATGATTGTTTTAACTACGCATAAAAAAATTGGACCTATTTGTAAAAACTTGAAAAGTTAAGGTACCAAAATGTAAGACCAAAAAAGTTAGATAGTAAAATATAATTTTCCATTAAAATTTGATGACTGGTATGCAAAAAAAATTATACTAAATATGTATATCTATTAAGTTGAGGCACCAAACTGCACTTTACATTTGGGCATGAGTACAAATGCAACCCTAATAAATGGGTATGGGTACAAACCCAACCTAAATAAATGGATATGGATACAAACCCATCAAACTCTACACATATACTATCTATTTGGATTTCATACCCAACCCAATTGGGTTGGGTAGTAAAATACCCATGGGCCTAATACTCTCCCTATATAAACCCTCAAAACCTTAGGAAAACCCTATCACCAGCATCCCTAAGAAAATCCCTGTAACCAGCAGCCCAGCCTCAAGCGCAAGCAGTCCAAGGAAACCTCATCGGAGTCCAGAGATGGTGAAATGGGGAAGGACAAATCGAACAAAGGGTTAGTACCCCTCGTCTGCTTCGGCTTGAGTTCCGTTACTGTAATTACATTGTTCGTGTGGGGAATGCGAGTTCCATTCATGTAATTTCATTGTTCGCGTGGGGAATCACTTCTGCTGATATGTATATATAATACTGATTGCCTTTTTTCTGATCGATTCCCTACTGGTTGGTTGCTTCGACGACATTAATTACTATTTTCGTTGTTGATGGCGGAATAGCCGCTGTTCGTTCGGTTAGAAATTGGAAAGCGAATCCATCATTAGCTCGAATCTCAGAACCATCCAAGTGTTCCGACCTGATTGACTTGCTGAACGGCTCCCCGCTTACGACATTGATTACTATTTTCGTTGTTGATGGCGGAATAGCCGCTGTTCGTTCAGTTAGAAATTTGAAAGCGAATCTATAATTAGCTAGATTCACAGAACTTTCCAAGTGTTCCTACCTGATTGCCTTTACTGAAAGGTCCCCCACTGGGTGATTACCGAGAGTACATGTTTGCCAGATTGTGGTTCGTTTGGGACTGCTCCATTTTGACCATTTTATGATACTGATTGCTTGATTCTTACTGTTTAAACGGTTGATTCCATTGCTCTGTTTTCAAATTCTTACTGAAATTAGTAGAGTTTGGTACACAGGCTGGGTGTGAGTGTGACATGCAGAGAGTGCAAAAAGAAGTATAGGATTGGAACCAACAGCGAACATGAAAAGGTGTGCACCAAGAAGCCGGAGCCAACAACAAGAGAGGCAAAGAAGGAAGTCCAGGCAATCACACAAGCATTGAAGAAAAAATGAGCATCTGGGAGACCTCACTAGCTCATCATCTACTTAGTAAATAATTAGGTCTTGTGAACAGATTGATACTTAACAAGATGAGCAAGTGTCATTAAGAGCTATGGATGTTTTATGTTTGAACTATGGAAATGCATTTCTGTGTGGCGAGTGTCATTAAGAGCTATGGATGTTTTATGTTTGAACTATGGAAATGCATTTCTGATTTCTGTGATGGAAGAATGCTATAAGTGTTTACCTTGCATTTAGGGGTCATAAAGTAATCTCTGTCTTGTTCTTCTGGATGATATCAACAGTTTGTCCGGCAAGCTTTGAGTACAGCTCATTCGATGCATCAAAAACCGAATTATTTATTTCATCTGGATCTTCATATTGTTAGCTTGCCCACTGTATCCACCAGGTGGTTAATGGACCATTGTTGTTGCATTCGGAAGTGACTTCCTCTGCCTTTAGCTCCAGCAGCCAGACGAAGAGAAGCCATGGATGCAGCTTGGCCTAGGCTGCCAGGGAAATAACATGAACACAGGTAAACAGGTTGTACAGTTACACCAAATCCTCGAGTCAATTAGGAGGGCTACAAACAATGTACGGAACAAGACCAATAAGGGTAACTGCAAGAAGAAGACGGGGAAGCTGACAGCTCATTCCAAATCAAGTAAAGAAAGTGATTCAAACTCTGAATTTCGGATCAGTGGAATGAAGAATTGGAGGCAACTGATTCAAAGAAGCACATAGAGCAAGGGACAGAGAGTTACAGAGCAGCGGTGGCTGGGCCACCGGGAGAGTTTTGATGCATGTGGATAGGCTTTGAATGATTCTCGGACTCGAGGAAGAGTAGTGTTCGCCGGAAGGACTCGCCGATTGCCAGCCTGAAAAAGAATAACAGGGTTATGTACAGATCTAGACACGGAACCAACACCCCTCCATTGGTAATAGACACAAACAGCAAACGTATAGAAAAATCAAACCCTGGCTTAGATCTGATGATTAAAACAAGAAAGGATGGTAACTTCGCGGGGTTTCAAGGCCTCACCAGCCCCTTAAGAAGACCAAAACAAAGATTTGAATCGTCAAACTCACCCCAGCAATAACAGAGAGGGTGAGGCAGAGAGATCCAGCTCGAGTTCAGACATGCCGAATAGAGGAGACGAGAGGAGAGCCACCATACTCCACCGTTCAAGGTAATAGAAATGGAGACTGGAACAGCTGCAACCGCAGAGGAAAGGCCTTCCAGCAGCAGCTGTGAGGAAGGGGAGAGAAAGAAATGCAAGGGAACGGCTGCTGAGAGAGGAAGATAGAACAGAGAAGTATCTACTTCGTGTGGATCGTCATATTCTTAGCTTGCCCACTGTACCCATCAGGTGGTTGATGGATCATTATTTTTGGATTCGGAGGTGACTTCCTCTTGCATTTAGCTCCAGCAGCCAGAAGAAGAAAAGCCATTGATGCAATCGTGCTTATTGGGGACCTTATGCATTGCCAAATATCATTGATAGCAAGACCTGCAAATCACACACAAAAAATGTCATTAAAAGTAGCAGTTAAGAAGGGATCTCAACATAATAGAGGAGCACAATTCCTTAGCTCAAGTTAAACTGCTTGGGGTTGATACGAGAAGACAGGAAAATAACAAGAACACAGGAAAATAACTAGAGACCTGGGCGCAATCTACCAGGAAAATAACAAGAACACAGGCTAACAGGCTGTACAGTTACACCAAATCTCGAGTCAAGTAGGAAAAATGTACGAAACAAGACCGATAAGGTTAACTGCGAGAAGAACAAAAGGACAGGGAAGCCAACAGTTCATTCCAAATCCAGTAAAGACAACGATTCAATCTCTCAATTTCGGGTAACTGGAATGAAGAATTGAAGGCAAATGATTCAAAGAACGTACAGCGAGAGACAGAGAGTTGCAGTCGCCGATCGCCAGCCTGAAAAGACAAAACCAGAGAAGGAAAAAAGAGTTATGTATGGATCTAGACACGGAACCAACACCCCCCCATTGGTAATAGACACGAACAGTATAGAAAAATCAAACCCTGGCTTAGATCTGATGATGAAACGAGAAAAGATGGTAACTTTGTGGGTATCCAAAGCCTCACCAGCCCCTTAAGAAGATCAAAACAAATATTTGAATCACAAACTCACCGCAGCGAGCAATAACAGAGATGATGAGGCAGAGAGATCCGGCTCGAATTCGGCCACGCCGAACAGAGGAGACGAGAGGAGAGCAACCATGTTCCGCCGTTCAAGGTGATAGAGATGGAGCGTGGAACCGCCGCGGCTGCAGAGGATAGGGCTTCCAGCGGCGGCAGTGAAGAAGGGAAGAGAGAAAATACAGGGGGATTGCGGAGAGATGAAGACGGAACAGGGGATGGGAATAATTCAACGAAAAGAAAAAGAAGAAAAAAAAAAGGAATAGTCAATAGGTTAGTTGGAAACACGAGATGCACGGAGTGCTCTGACAGCCAATAATTTTTCTCTCTAACCCTACTAAATTTCCCTGCTGTACTTGCCGAGTTTATTTTTTCTGTTCTCTTTTTTTATGAATTTCCTTTTCATTTTAACCTTTTTCCTTTATTCTTCTCTTAAAAATTAGGGGAGAATGTAATTTTAAATATAGAGGTTATAATCAAGTTTCTCAAACCGGTTAATACCATTGCGTCGGTTTAGAAAGTGGAATAGTTCGACCGGTGGTACAATAATTTTGTGTCGGTTCATGCAGGTTAACAAAATATGTAGACATATAAAAATCATTAACATCAAATGAATTTAGCTAGATATAAATAATATTTGAAGACAATATAATTATAATTCATATTGATATTGATATAGATATTTAAAAATACGGTATTCCAAATACTCATATTTAAATACAATATCTAAACGTTTATACCTGAATCCAACAAATAACATAAAATTTTAACTTTTAAACTCATAAAATAAAAGATAAATTAATTTTTTATTAATTAAATTCAATAAAACGATGTCATTTTGCTTATAGATCGTAAATTGATCATGTCGATCATACCAGTGATGTTTACGCTGATTTCATGACATACGGTTGTACTAGGTTCAACTAGTGGCATGTCGACCAGCGCGACAATCATGGTTTTTTTTTTTGAATTATTTTTCTGAGAAAAAATTTAGTATTATGATTATTATATAGCAAAAAAGGAAATATCACTTTCCACCAAAGTTGTCCACATGCGAGCTTACCTGTTTTGATAATGACCCAGTGAAAAAATTGGGTGTCACACATCCGCGAGTTGACTAGCTGTAAGGTTCTTGGGTTGGAGGTCATACGGTGTCATTTTTCCTTTAGATTGCGAAATGCGCCTCTTTCTGATTTTCTTCTTCGCCTAATCCTATTTCTCGAATTATAAGTTGGAACATTTGAACATTGATGTTACATGTTGGATTCAAGTATGAACTATTATTTTGATGTAATGTTATATATTATTATTATTCACATGTCATATGGTATATATGGCGAGTTCTACGGTACCCAGGGTGAAATCCGGGGTATCGCATACCTTGAGTATGAAAACGCTATCCAGACCTTGAATTGATTGATCTTTTGGACATTATATTATATTCTAACCCTTAAAGATCAAAATCTAGGTCTTAGTTCTCTAAATCTTATACCCCAAGATCAATTGAATTATAAACAATAATCGACGGCTATGATTCGTCCAAATATAGGCAAAAAATGAATACTCCATCTTAGGGTTTATAGTTTATGATTTAGATAATTAGGACATAGGGTTCACTCATTAAGAGTTATGGTATATTATCAAGCCCAAAAATTCTGCTAATTCAAGGTCTAGATAGTGTTTTCATACTCAAGGTATGCGGTACCCTGGATTTCACCTGGAGGGTATCGTAGAAGCCACCATGAATCATACTCAAGGTATGCTCCAGATGATCTAACCATTAGATTTACATGGATTAGCTCCGGCCAATCTCAACGGTCAACTGTTATTTTCTCTTAAATTAAACTTTGTGTTTGGGATTAGAAAATCGGGGTCTGGGGTTTATCTATTTGAGGTTAGGGTATAGTATCATACCCCAAACTCGGTTTAATTCATGGTCTAGATAGAGATATTCACTAGATAGAGTATATATATATATATATATATATATATATATATATATATATATATGAGGAGTTCTAATTATCTAAATCATAAACTATACCCTAACTCTTAATAAGTGAACCCTAGGTTCTAATTATCTAAATCATAAACTATAAACTCTTAGATGATGCATTCATTTTTTTCCTATAGTTGGATGAATCATAATCTTCTATTATTATTTCTAATTAACTTGATCTTGGGGTATAAGATTTAGAGAATTAAGACCTAGATTTTGATCTTTAAGGGTTAGAGTTTAGTATCATGTCCGAAAAATCAGCCAATTCACGGTATACGGTACCCCGGATTTCCCTCTGCGTACCGTAGAACTTCCCATAATATATATATATATATATATGAACAAAAGAACAATATTTTTATATATTTAAGTTAAATCAAAATAAAATGATTAAATCATAAATCTCAACCCTCTTACTGGAAAAGGCCAACGAGCTATATCCGGTTGAGAACCTTGCTTTCCACTAGACAAAAATGAGAAAAACTACAGTAATTACGTATTAGGTTTCCTGCTTCTTTCAAGTTATTTCCAAGTTTTCTTTTATCATTTACCTGCGTTTTGAACCGTCAAATCCACGTTTTCTATTGTCTTTTATTAGAAAAAGAAAAAAAAATGTTAGTTGAAGATAAAAGAAACACGTAGTGGCAACTGTAATAATAAATAAATAAATAGAAACACGTAGTGGCACTGGCACAGAATGGTAATGGTAATGGGTCGGGTTGGAGCGGGTTTTGTCAAATCTAAATCCAAACTCATGGGTTTATCTGCAAAAAAAATCCGGGGTAAAATCTGCTGGGTTTGAAAAACTCAAACCCAACCCAACCAGTTGGGTATCCGCGGGTTCATATGTACCCGTGGGTTTTTGTGATAAAAAATTTACAATAACAAGTTTCTTTCAAAATAAAAGTTTAACATCAATTTTCTCATAAAAATTATTCATATAAAAAACACCAATCTAGAGCATACAAGCAAACGGCAAATGATCAATACGAATTGTTGAAAATTAAAGATAAACATATATAAACAACAAGATTAATTGAAAGCTTCTTCCTCGTCAAATAAGTTTTTTCACTCTCCACTCCATAACATCAACTTCATTCTAAACAATTAGAAAGAACAAATTATACATGTCTCCACAAACATAAAGAATATTAGTTGTTTAAGGAAGATATATTATTTAGAATATTAAATATACTGGGAAAATAATTATATGTGTGGGCGGGTACCCATGGGGCGAGTTTACCTAAAACCAAACCCAACCCGTTGAATAGTGTAGCCTGTTTAAACCCGAACCCGACCCAAAATCTGTCAACACGGGTTTTACCCACGTTGACCGGGTTGGGTCGGGTGGGTACCCGTGGGTTCGTGTTTTGTTGCCATCCCTAGGCACAAGCTCTTACTTTCTCCTTTTCGTATTTTTCAAGATCGAAATATTGTACCGTACTGGCGGTTAGACCACAAAATATCGTACCGTACTGGCAGTATTTAGTGGTTGAATCACGATTAAACCATGATTTTAGCATAAAATATTCTACCGCTGACTTTCCATGACAATCTCCGATACTGTATTTCAATCCTTGGTATTTTTTTAATTTATTTAATTAAGTGGAAAGGAAAAATTAGCTGAAGAAAACAGAAACGCGGATTGGGCGAGAGCTGTTACTTTCTCTTCTTTTCTACTAAAATCCTACATCATTAATTAAAAGAAAACTAATTTTTATAAAACCAAAATATAACACACACACTTTTTTTTTTCTATCAAGAGACACACAAACACTAAATCTATAAATCTAAACAAGAGGAATAGTTCCCCAATATCAATAGGGTTGAATAGGGATGGAACTAACCTAGTGTTGAGGCTTTTTGGGTCGTTGCAAGTTTACTCGCTTTTGAATTGGTTGATTATGGTAAAGCATCGTACCCCAAACTCCGATTAATTCAGGTTCTAACTAGCAAAACTCAACTGATATATGGTAAGTGAGCGTATGCTCGAGCGTACGTTAGACTGAACCTTAATTTATAAATGTATTAGTCTTTATGACAATATACTCTCAATAATATGAATAGTTTCGAGCCATCTCCCCACCGAACAACCCTCAAACTCCGCCTACCTGGGAGAAGATTTGGAAGCTCCATGTCCCTGAAAGAGTCCGAGTTTTTGTTTGGATGGCGACCTCAAATAAACTCTCTACCAACAGTGTGAGGAAATATAGGCATCTTACGGAGGATGACAGCTGCCCGGACTGCCAAGGAACACCGGAAACTAACTGTTGGGGGTGTTACTGAAATACTCCGATTCAGACTAAGTAGGAGGGCGCACAATCGACAATGGGCAACACTCGATACCCGCTACAGGTATATAAGGGCTTGAAGCCCTCCAAAGAAGAGGACTTCTTCTCTCTCCTCACTTCCCACTATCCATTATCTCTCTACACTTTATCTCTCTACCTTATTCTCTGAACTCTCTCCTCAAACTTAAACTAACTTGATCGTCGGAGCTTAATCCAGGGGGCAACCCCGGCTCTTTCACAGGTTCTCTTCCTCCCGACGAGATCGGACGAACAGGTGATGAGTCAACCCACACCAACAAATATCATTGTTCATACCGGAGCAAGACGGTACAAACACTAACCTCCACTGCCTTCGAGACTGCCAGAGAGAGCATCATTTGGCAAAGAATTATCTCGCATGACAAGTTTGGTGATTTCATGGCAATGGACTATGGTGAATGTTTGAAACACAATATTAACAACAACAGCCTCGGCAACTGGCCGGGGGAGTGGGCGAGCTACTTCAGCCTCATCTTGTGGTTCATCTGGAAGCAAAGAAATGAGAAGATCTTTCAAGGAAAGGCGCTCTCCCTACCCTCTCTATTCCACTATGTTACGGCTAAAGCAAAAGAATGGGCAGGTATTTGGGAGGCTGCCTCTAGGAAGCTTGATGTGCGCTCCAAAGCTGCCCGTTCGGAGGAGCTGATCGGCTGGAAACCCCCTCCCGTAGGTTGGCTGAAGCTTAACACAGATGGAGCGGCACAGGGACACGGTGGTGAGATTGGTGCAGGGGGTGTCATTCGCAACAGTAATGGAGATTGGATTAAGGGTTTTGTCTGCAGGATTGGAGCTGGATCAGTGATTATGGCGGAGCTCTGGGGTATCCTAAGAGGCATCAATCTGGCTAGAAGAATGGGAATCGAGTTCCTGATCATTGAATCTGACTCCCGATTGGCCCTTGATCTCATTCAGCAACCGCATGATCCGACCCACCTCCATGCTAGCATCCTTGCAGATATTCGGAGAACTCTCGCACAGAATTGGGTGGTGCAACTAGTCCATTCATACCGGGAAGGGAATAGAGTCGCAGACTGGCTCTCGAAGCACAGTCTCGTCTATCCCTTTGGTATGCATGAATTAGATGACCCACCCAAGGCGGCAAGAGCAAAACTTAGAGAAGATGTTATAGGAGTCAGTATACCTCGTATGGTGATTAGACAGGAGAGTTGAGAGTTTCCCCCTTTCTCCCCGGTGATGTTCTGAGTCTTTGTTTGTTTTCTTGCTGTTGTTCCACAACCTCCATTCAATAAATAAATAAATAAATATCTGTTGGAGGTGTATTTGTAACTCAGTTATGTCATACACTCCTATTAACTCTTGCATTTTTTTAAGTGGTAATTGGCATTCTATTGGTCATTCGATTGTCATCCTCTAGTCCAAGTACTGAAAAATGGGATGACAGTTGTCATGCCATCCAATTGCAACTACCACCCCATAACATCAATTGTATACGTCTTTAGGCTTTTCCATATTATGTGTTTGCTTGTAATTTGAAGTGAGATTTTTTTTTTCTCTTTCTGTTGTCATAGTTTATGCTAGGTGGTGTTAATTTTTGGGCGCAGGCATATTATGGATCGATAGAGTGAAGGTTGAGATCATTGTAGGCATGTTTGAAGCTTCATCAAGGGACACATACCAAAATTCACGATCATAATTCTCTAATTCAAACAGTGAATTGTTAAAACTACACATTGTTAATATACACATAATCTTTAATACACACATTTTCGTAATAAATTATTTTCATAATCAAAAGTTCCAAACGAAACCTAACATGATTTCTAATTTGATCTTCCCCAATGGTGATTGAGGTTCCTTCGATACTGAAAGTCGTCAGTGGGAGTGTGGGACTATTTGGGAATTCACCATCTGCTCTTCCCCTTCAACAATTACAGACCCATAAATTTAAGGTTCTTTTTTTTTTTTGCTGGTTGTAATATAAAACAAGTTATTTGGTAATGTATAGATATTTGATAATGTATGCATTTTAAATTTGTTGTTTGTTAAAAAGTTTTCTGAAGAATAATTTTTTTATTAGTGCTAGGCGCTAGGCCGGCGTTGGGTCATGCCTAGCGTCTAGGCGTTTTAAACAATCATAATATTGCGACGGGTGAAGAGTAAAAAAGAAGGCTGGGCCGACTAAAGTTAGATACAAAAGAGAGAAATCTGTTAGTTTCTCAGTTTGTCAACGTAAATACACTCTGAATCTGCTTAGTATATCTATGTCATACTCGTCTTGATATTGTCCTTGTTGTCCATCATTTAAGTCCATTTATGATATTATTCAATCTAGTATTCATCTCAAGGTTGTATATAGAGTCTTTAGATACCTCAAGAACAATCATGGACAAGATTTATTCTTTCATGGTATAGTGATTGAGAAGGTTTTCCAGATTCTTGTAGGTCAATGACGCGTGCGTGGGTTAGGCGTCGTGGATCTCTAACTATTCTATGAAATACTACTGAAAATGCTATAAAGATAGCTAAATTACTACTAATTTACTCGACTCTTTTTTATGAAAAATAATAACTTTCTCCACAATAAACAATTTGATACAATTAATTAATACGAATATCCCAAATAGCCGCCAACAAATAACTAAATAAATTCCAATTTACCAAACCCAAATTCGGCCATGGATGCTATAAACTACATATAATCAAGAGACGAATTTTTCAAAGATGAAGGGAGACAAAGGGGGAGCAAAGCAATGGTTAAAGTGATTTACTTTAAAGTTTTTTTTTAATATAAGAATTTACTTTAAAGTTAACTTTCAATCACTGTCATTTTCGTTCAGTAAATCTAAGAGGAGTAGAGGACTGTCAAAAAAGAGAAGTGTCAGTGAATTGGTGACATCATAGTAAATACTACTGAATTACTGCATATAGTGGGATTGATTGAAAAAGTCGTATAAATTGGCAGGTAGAAATTTATAGTGCAGGTGGTCCATGGGAACATATTTGGTCCCCACCTTGTTTATCACGGGCCTGGGGAGAGATCAGAGAAGAGTACCATAACTCTGTCGGGTCTTCAATCTTCACGCTTTGACTTCTCGGGACCACACAAACTACAAACCATTGGTAAATGAGTTTGATTATTTTTGTTCATTTTCATCTATTTAGTCTTTACAACAAGTTTGTCAACTCGGTTTTAGCACGTTTAGTTAAGTCGAGCAAGTGAGTTGAGACTTAATGGTTTGATTGTTTTATTCCGTTATAATTTGGATGTATGAAAAAATTCATTATATTGTTCATATATTTATAAATTATATCAAATCTCATCTAACATATGAGTAATAATATATAGCACATCGTACTTGTATCAATATATAAAAAATTCACACACACTTATATAAACACCAATATTTAAATGTTCAACATAGAATTCCAAAGATATGGTTACACGAAAAAGAAAACGGAAAAGAGGTACATTTCGCAAACGAAAGGAGAACAAGATATTGCATGACCTCCAACCCAGTAACCTTGCAACGAGTCGACCCGCGAGTATCAAATCTCTTATAATTATAGAGATTTTATATATTGATTCGTGAAAAATTTTTTTCTCCTACTTTTTTCTCTTTTATTTATTTATTTTTCATATTAAATTCATTTATCAAACAAACAACACACAATGCAGAACAACAATTGACTTCCTTCCTTCCTTAAGTTAGTGTAAATCACTCATTTCCATCTCTTAACAAAAGAACAATCACAACTTCCATCATCCATCTCAATACCCACATCAGTTTCTTTTTTGCAATTCAGATGAACAATCTCTAAACTACATCCGTATTTTTCTCTGTTCTTATGTTCTCAAACTCTAAAATGCATTAAAAAGAAATCCTTTCTTGCACGGTTTGTTCATGTATTATCAAATTCTAAAATTTTCTCACTTAGAAATTCTCAAACGCAATCGACAGATTGACAATTTGACGAACATCGACAAACACATAAATATGTTCAATGAAAGAAAACACATTTAAAAAACCACACCAGATCTCGAGTCTGAAAATCTCCACAATAATTTGCTTGATCATCAAATTTTTTGCTATTCTCTCTCCTTCTTCTGCACAACCAATTTCAATTCCACCAAATGTAGCTCCATCCACACAATCACAATCCAACGAACCAATTGAGATCCAACTAGCATGCAATGCAACAAGACATCGAAAATATTGCATATCATCATTGAATCAGCCAAATCTCGTCCCATCGAACCCAACCTCAAGTCAAATCATCCAATCCACCATAGGGTTATCCTCCACAACCCTCAACTTCACACATTCGAAGTTAAAAGCTTTGCTAAGCAAGGCACAAGGAAACCAAAACATAACCCACACGGCCGAAATATGTCTGGAGGTGCTCAATTGCTCGAGGTATCGTTTGTCTTCATCCAACGATTCATTCTCATATGATTCTGGAAAGATCAAGGATGCTCGAGCATGGATGAGCGCCGCATTGTCTTACCAGTACGATTGTTACGGAGGATTGAAGTACTATGCAAGTAACTACTCCCAATTAACAAATGAGCCCATGTTGTGCTTGACCAATCTGATCAACTACACTAGCAATGCCCTAGCAATGGTGGTTTCTTATGATATATTCGGGGGTGATATGAGTCTATGGAGGCGCCCAGAGACCGAGCGAGATGGGTTTTGGGAAAACCCTAAACATGAGCCTGAGTTCAGAAGTGAGTTCCCAACTAAATACTTGGTCATTGATGTTGTAGTTTGTAAAGAGGGAAGTAGTGATGATGGTTCAAATGAGCAATGTCGTTATAAGAAGGTCCAAGAAGCCGTCGATGCTGCTCCAAGCAATGTGATTGACAAGAAGTTTGTGATCCATATAAAGGAAGGGGTGTATGACGAAGTTGTTAGGATCCCATTCGAGAAGAAAAATGTTGTGTTTTTGGGTGACGGTAAGGGCAAAACCATCATCACGGGATCTTTAGGTGTTGCTCATCAACCTGGGATTACCACATATGATTCAGCCACTGTCTGTAAGTTTATACTGACCTTAAGAAAATTTTATGACCTCTATATGTGGAAAGAAATTATTCATATGACTAGCCTCTTGTTTTCGTGTTGCATTCCTTTGGTATTTCACTTTATAGGTTAAGTGGGTAGATGGTTGTGGTAAAAGCTACTTAACTCGACTTTTTGGGATTGTAAGGCTATGAAATGAGATTATTTTTTAGTTGCTCCAAAAAGAAAACAAATTCAATGAATAATTGGTTTTTGATAATTGACATGCTATCAAATTTTGTTTGTGATAATCGAATGATTTTATTCTTGAATTCTAACAATCTCTATGACCTGTGATTTAAGGACTTTTTGTAACGTTGTGAACATGTGCAAATTTCAAACTAATAGGGTAAAATTTCCTTTGAGAAGGTATGTAAAAGAATTATACAAAACTCTTTTTTTTTTAATTTCTTCTGAAAAGCTTTAAGGAGGTTTACAACTACGAACAAAAGACAAACTTCCTCACATCCCGAAATTACCTTCTAGGTGTTACTAAACCATCACATTTTGAGCTTAAATAGACTAGTATTATCAAGTGTCACATGGATTAAAAACACAAAATCTTCTACAAAACCAACATTTTTTTTCTTCTAATATGTACCAACTCATCCCAACAGCTCGCAAGTTCTTGTCAAACACTCAAAAACCCATCTAATATTTCCATACTCTTTCTATCTACGAGACAACCAAGCCTGTATAAAATTAGAAGATGAACAAGTTAGTTCATGTAATTGATAATGCCTAGCTCACTATTTGTACCATGTTTTTTGTTTTTTCGTTTTCAAGCTGTTCTTGGTGATGGGTTCATGGCCACAAACCTCACGATCCAGAACACAGCAGGAGCCCCAGAGCACCAAGCAGTGGCTTTTAGATCAGATAGTGACCAATCCATGATCGACAACTGTGAGTTCCTAGGCCACCAAGACACATTATACGCACACTCACTTCGACAGTACTACAAATCATGTCGAATCACAGGGAATGTGGACTTCATCTTTGGCAATGCAGCAGCTGTGTTCGAAGATTGCCTCATCCAGCTTAACCCTAAGCTAGACAACCCTGAAAGTGGCGGAGATAATTCAGTCACAGCACAAGGAAGAACAGAGCCAGTCCAATCAACAGGTTTGTTTGAGATCTCAAACATTATGATTTACATATGATAGTTATATTCTAGGTTTTGGGCATTGATTATAGGTGTGATCCTAAATCTGCATCGAATTGATACAAGACTGGACTAAATTTGGAAGTTAGATGATCAAAATGGGGCATAAAACATCGTATTTTGATTAAATTTCGTCTTGTCTAGTGTTGATTCATTCTATTTCTTTTGTTTTCTTTTAAGAAAGTCATTGGAATCAAAAGAAAACTAGATTGGATATGAAAATCAAAAGCAAATAGAATTGAACTACACAATTGCATAGTATGATATCGTTCGTTAATGAGTTGGTTCAATTTCGAATCAGGTATTGATCGAATTCCTTCCAATCTTTCAATTATATGTATGGTCGTCAATTAGTTTACTATACGCAAAACGTTTATTGACGGTCATCGATTTTAACCGATTTGATGTATTACCTCTCGGCACAGGTTTTGTGTTCCAAAACTGCACAATCAATGGTACTGAAGAGTACATGGCATTGTTCAAGAGCAACCCTAAAGTGCATAGGAATTACTTGGGGAGGCCATGGAAGGAGTACTCAAGAACAGTGTTTATAAACTGTGGAATGGGAGATGTGGTAGCTCCAGGAGGGTGGATGCCATGGGATGGTGATTTTGGATTGGACACTCTTTACTATGGTGAGTTTGGGAATTTTGGAGATGGATGTAGGAAATCAGAAAGAGTGAAATGGAGTAGTCAACTTCCTAAAGAACATGTAAATGCATATTCTTTAACAAATTTCATTCAAGGTGATAAGTGGATTCCTAAAAGTTCTTTGTAATAGCTTTTAATTTGTACCAAAGAAAATGAAAATTAAATAATTATTAGAAGTGTTTTTTATTTTTCCTTTTCGCATTCTCGATATATAACTTTTCCAAGAATATTCATGTATAACAAAAGTGTGAACCAAAATTAGAGATCCTTAATGAAGTTAAGAGTGCTTGAACGAATTATGTTGATGAATAAACAATCTCTTAGATCTTATAAAATATTATTATTCTCACTAAATACAAGTATTACAAGAAAAAGGGACCAAGAGGAGAAGTTCCAAAAATTCGAGGACGTCCGATAAAATTGGAAACATACAGAAAACTCGCAGTTCTCTCGCCGTCAGGGTATCTACTTTGAAACTTGGCGGAAGCGATTTTTCAGAATTGCATTTCAGTATTTCACAATCCATTAAGAGAAGGAGAAGAAGAGGAAATAGCTCTGATCGTCGGCGGCGTCGGATTCAAAACCACATCGACGTCGGTCCAATTCGTCTCCCCCCAATGCTTCAACATGCTCTTCCAATTACAAACATTATCCACGCATTTCCTCAACCGCGAATCCCTAATCGGGATCTTCCAGTGCCCGTCGACGAATCCCTCCTTCTCCGCCTCCCGCCGATCCCACTCCAGCTGGGCTTTCTGCCTCGACTCCAGCAAGCAAAACCCTTGCAGCTCCACCGACATCGCGTCGTGGACCTTCCACCACCGCGAGTGAGCGACGTCGCTGGCAAACTCACGGAAGATCTCCGAGTTCCAATTGCAGTCGTAATCCCTGAAGCACAGCCACGGCTTCATCCCGAGGTAGTGGAGCACGTAGAGCTCCGGCGGATCCGACCCGAAGAGGTCGTTCTTCTTCCTTTTCACCTCTTCGTCGTCGCCGATCCAGAAGTGCTTCAGGAAGTTGAGCCGGCGAGGGATTCGGTGCCACCAGGTGAAGATCTCGTTCAGGTAGCCCTGGTCGCCGCCGTTGTAGGATTGGATCTCGTTGATGTGCTCCATCAGCAGTTGGAACGTGCAATTGGACGGCTGAATTCAAGATTAGCATGATCAAAATTGGGTATTTTTTATTGAACATTGAGGATTTTTTTCTATCGCAATTGACCTAATTACCTCGATGACCATGACTCCCGAATTGAAGAGGGTGCCGTTGTTGCCGGTGGCGGTGATCTCCGGCATGGAGAAGAGGAAGTCGATGTTGCGGAGGATGAGGAGGTCGGCGTCGATGAAGATGATCTTGTCGTAGTCGGTGAGCTGCCACAGCCGGAACTTGCTGTAGTTCCATTCGTTGTAGGCGTCCTTTTCGGCTTTCGGGTTTCGGATCCTCTGTACCGTCCGGACTTTCCACCCGGCTGCTTCCAGCCCGCTCCGGTGGTACGGGGTGATGGTCTCGTCGACGAGGATGACGAGGTCTCGGGTCGACCCGGAGAGGCGGATGCTCTGCGCGGCGGCGATGGCGCCACAGACGTAAACGTGGGCGGAGTGGAGGATCGTCGCGTAGGCTTCCCGCCTCGGGTTCCCGGCGTACCCGCCTTGTCCTGCCCAAATGAACAGAATTCTTCAATATTAAACTAAAATTATTAGAATATCGTTGTAGAATTAGGATTTGAAATATTTAAATTATGTAACCGAATTGTTAAAATCATATGCGAGATAGATAAAAACATGTAAATTATGTAATGGAAATCGTGATAAAATGTAACAAATCGCTTGTAGAATAAAAATGATATGATTTTTTTTTAATTTTGGTTTTCATATGTTTATAAATCACACATTTAAAACAAGAATGAAAACCAAAATTTTCACACTACGAGACTATATAAAAGCCTACACGAACATAATCCATTAACCACTCAAATTATTAGAACGAATCCATTATTAATCATGATTTGGCCAAATCATACATTACAAATGAAACCTGTAAATTATGTTACCAAATAGCTACATTTTTAAGATACTAGAAGGAAGTTGAAGAACAAGAACTAACCTCTGTCCCCAAGAGGAAGTGCAAGCTCACAAGACCCAACAGGCAAATTCACCTTCTGCCCCAACACACTCAGATCAGGCTTATACAGCCAAGCATTGCCTTCCCTAGCCACAAGCTCCTTGCAAGTGAACAGATTCGGCAGAGGAAAGCACTTGGTAACAAACAGCAAATGCACAGGGTAATTCCCTCTAGCAGAAACAGCAGCAAGATTAGCTGATGCCAGCTGCAAGTGCAACCTGGCAACGTCTCTGGACCAATTGGCCTCATTCCTGCAAGGGAGCTTGACCACTATGAGGTCGAGCCGCCTTCTGGGTGGCTCGATTTTCGGCAGGATGGGACAGATCGGGACCTCGGTTTCTTGCTCCTCGTCGATCCATTCGGGGTAGAGGGCGTCCCAGGTCGTGTTTGGGTCTGCATTTTGAAGTCTGAGGACAATGTGGTTGGCCTTAGGGGAGATTTGGTCCTTCCAGTGTTGGATTTCAGTCTTGTTGGTGTTGAAGTTGAGGAAGCCTATGCCTTGGTGTTCTTTGAGCTCACCTAGGGTTTGGTGGAGGATTTTTGTTATGTGGTTCCAGTTGATGGGTTCAAGGTTTGTTGTGTATCTTGGGTCTTCTCCACCCCATATCCACCTGTTCACAAAATTTGGCCTGGAATGGAACAGAACCAAAAATATTGAGCAGGGGTGGTAATTTACTTAAGGAAGAACCAGAACGAAAGCATTAAACGAGCACATGACTTGATTGATGGTCGTCATAACTCATAAGTCACCTTTTTCGTATGATTGCTAGAAGCAGTGGCGGAGCCACGTTATGTGGTGTGGGGTCAATGGACCCCACTTGAAAATGGGTGCCCGTTAAAAATGAATGAAAATACATATGAGGCATGCAAGAATTAAACCTTGGACCCATGAATACGAGACACCAGCTGAGACACCAGCTGCACCATTACAATATATCTTGAGTTATGTTTAATGAGTTCTGTGGTTTTAATTTTCATATAATTCTTGGACCCCACTGAAATATTTCTCTGGCTACGCCAATGGCTAGAAGAACATGGTTACAAACGTTTAAAACCACATATACTTAAACCGCAAAAACAGAATTTTACACTAAAAAAATTGAAATTTCAGAGTGTTCTTTGAAACATTTACCTTCCACCTGGCCTTGAAGAGAGAGGATCAACTTCAGGAAATGAGACAAAAGTGAAAATTGTGCAGAAGATGATGACCACAACACAAAACTTGACAAAGGAACCAAATCTGATGCAGCAGCCACCTCCCTTGTGATCATTGAATATAGACTTCTCAATGACACCTTTGATTTTGTTTCTCTTCTGAAGAAGCTTCCTTTTGTCCCCATAACAAATAACTCGAGTTATTTATTCGAATTTATATATCAACTACAATTTGAAACTCGAACTACTGCTCCAAAAAGTACTCACATTGATGCAGGCAATCGATGTCGTGCCTCGAGGGTGGCAGCCAACGGGGAACTACCCATTACTCCTCTCATTGTCGTGGATGAACCCAAATGATCAACTTCAGGATATGTACATTGAGGACGAGAGAAAAAGGGAGACTCAAAAGGCTTAGCTAGATGAAATGGGGGATGATTGTATGTTGATTGCAGGGAGAAGGAAGATGGAATTTGGGAAGTCAATATAGGAAGACAAGAGAGAGAGAGAGAGAGAGAGAGAGAGAGAGAGAGAGTTAACTTCCAATTGAAATCTTCCTATGGGAAGAATGGCAGTCTCATTCCATTTAGTTCCTTTTGTTCCCACTACCAACTCTTCTAAAACAATTTAGAAAAAAAGGAACCAATTTTGTTTTTGTTTATGTTGATTTAACTAGTTAAATATTTTTAGTCAATTCATAGCCTTGTGGTAGGTCAAGACATATCTTCACTTCTCATAGTTCTCCATCCAATATCTTTTGGGGGAAGGAGGACTTGTGAACAAGAAGAAAGATTACTATTTGAGAATATTCAACCCAACCTAATTAGGAAGGTTTAGAAATTAATTGAACTTTGTTTATAGCCAATGAAATGAAGTGACAATTGTTGAATATTCAAGGAATATATTATTTATAGATAAAGCAAATGAAATGAAGTGAAGTAGTGTCATTATTCAGTTTTAGTTGAAGATTAGGTTTGGGAAAACAATATAATGTGGTTAAGCTTGGGAATAAAAAAAGTTGATCAAACGTCCATTCCCTCACTAACCCAAATGAAAAGGATAAATAACTCAACAATATCCTTATTCATAAAAAATAAAAAAAACCAAAGTCCACTTACCGCTAATCAACTAATTTTAGTTTATACAAGTTACTTTCAAATTTTGTCGATAAGAATCCTAAATGTTTGTCTAAAAGAGACTATTTTCAAAGTTATTCATCGTAAAATCGAGCTCCCTCCCTTTCAAATAGTCTCATGTCATTCAAAAGCACAACACATTTCTCCAAAAAAAAAAAAAAACTTGCTCAAACCATAACTCAATCAAGAAAATTGTTTCTTCACATCCAAGCAAAGACATAATACCCAATAAACCTAGACAAAACCCTCCCTTTAAAATCTATCAATGTTACATAATAGAGGTGGGAAATTAAGCAAAGAAGAGGGGGTTAATCACATTACTAAGAACTAATGATGACTAGTGAAGAATGGCACTAATAAACTAAGCTTAAAGTTAAGAGGCAGATCCATTATGGTTAGAAGAAGGGATGAGGCTGGATTGGAAGGCTTAAAAGTGACTTGGTGGGAAAGGTGCAATGTGCTGGCATTTTGCATACCAACAGAAGGAGAAGAAGAAGAAGAAGAAAGGTAAGGTAGGACTTAGTTGTAGAAAAGATGGCAGCCTTGCACCTATCGCTACGTATCCTATGTTTATTTTCTACTCTTTCTCTTGGATCTCCTTCCATACCTTCTTACAAAGCAAATACTCTTGACGAGGAGATGTAAAAATTTAACAAATAGGGAAACAGGACTCGAAATATTGCGAATGAGAGTATGGTCCAGGAAAGTACTATTGCTCGGTTCAACATTGAGATTCAGGTTCGGATCTCACAAGGAAATTCATCTCCATTAGAAACTCATTTCGATATTCAATTATGAAAAAACCCTTAATTTGGGATTCTGAGTATCGGTACGAGCTAATTGACATTGTAACTTAGTCACATAGCCTCGTAACGTAAATAAGAGCATTGTCTAATGTATTCTTTCTTCTTCTTTTCCCCCCTCATGGAATACATTTGTACCATTAGTATACACATGTCTGTTGTATTGAATTGAAAGCCAAGGAAGTTTATATACTTCCATATTTAGTAAACTTTACTTGTTTGGAATACAAGTCATTAAACCATTACTAAATCCATTTGTTGTCTATAGCAGTTTGAGTCAGCTTTACTTCAAGGAAAGAAACCAGATCTGTTCAGACCATGTTTACAAATTTCGTTGGAATAGAAGTCCAGAGGCAACAAGCAAAGCCTGATGATGAACAAGAAGGTACATGCTGTTAGTTTAGCTTTTAACTTCAGGAAAGAAACCAAGATACAATTGAGAAGATCTGATAATGAAATCAATCGTCCCATACCAATAGTACTTGGTGAATCTCAGCTATTTGAATATGGAACATCGTACAACGAGCAAGAATGAAACGCCTACAGCTCCGATGTGAAGTCTAAGACCTAACAAGAGAAGTAAAACCGAAGTATCACGGAAGACATGAACATGGAACAGCATGAAATCACTGACACCGATTTTTGTCCAGTCAACAAGACATTGAACACACACAGAAAGCTTGGATAAGATTCTGGGGACGACAATACAGCTGCTGTATGTGAAATTGTTTTTTTCCTGTAGAACTGAATGTTGGTCTATTTTTGCCACATTAGGTTCAGTTGACAATTACCATAACTTACAAATCCCAAGGATTGTACAGGAATAACAATGCTACAATGTTAGGTGGGCTGAAGGATAACCAGGTTCATAGATCTAGTCTATCTAGTGACATTCTAGATTCTATACCTAACAAAACAACCCTGATCAAAAGCATTACCCTAAGTACACGGAATGATCCCCACCACAACTGAGAAGTGACCACTTGAAAAGCAAGAAAAGTTGGACCAAAAGCTAGCTTGAACTTCTCTGAATGTGACCAATCAGACTGAAAGCTTATAAGAGAAACATATGTACATTACTGGTTAATTTCTCTGAAGTATGAGGATTGTTTGGCTTTGATGAAATTCATTATTCTTGAAGCATCTCCTCGCTTGACGATTTTCCCTTTCTCCATATATAATGCCCCATCTGCAAATTCGAGCTCTTCAAGTCGGTGGGTTACCCATAGAGCTGTGACGTCGTCTGATACATCTAATGTGTTCTTCAGTGCTTTGATCACACCAATCTACCAGCCAAAAACCCATTCGTTTCCGCTTAAGAAGGTGTTAGCTAAAATGGTAAGGTGATGACTCCTCAAGAGCTAACCTGATCCTTCTCATCTAAGAACGTTGTCAGCTCATCCAGTAAGAGCACTTTACATGCTTCAGCCAGAGCACCAGCAATTGCAACCCTCTGCTTCTGACCACCACTCAGAGTTTGCACAGGTCTCTGTGAAGAATGCAGATTAAAATAAATCATAATGGAATCAATGCAATCTGTGAACCTCCACAAGCTATATTTTTCAAATCCTCTACCTGCATGTAGGAACCCATGCCGACTGCGTCAAGAGCTTTCGCCACCCTGCGCCTCACTTCATCATTTGAGAAGTCGAACTTTCCAAGACCAAAGGATACATCTGCTTCTACTGTAGGCATGACAACCTACAAACAAACAGTACACTGCCATCTATTAATCTGTTGGAAATGATATAAAACAATGCTCAATGGTTACTTAAACCATTGCTACTGCTCTTTAAGACCTTAAACTGGAGTTTGCTCAGTACTTCTGAAGTCTTTTTGAACTTTTCTAGGTTCATTCAGGGGTACGGCTTTTCTTCATTCAGTTTATCAGCTTTATTGAAAAAAATGCCACATTGGTCGTGCTTGCACTTAGCAAGAGGTTGGGCAGTACTCCGGACCAGAGTAGGGGCTATCACCACGAGTCAAATTGTCCAAGGGAGAAATGACCCCCAAGCAACTAATGACTCTCCTAATCTATACTAAGGAAAACCCTGATGAACCTCCTAACCACTGGTAACTGGATCCCTAGTATCTATTTACCGAGTGATTACTAATACTACCATAAATGTTTAACAATGAGTTGCTCAGTGACTACTAACGGATCCTCCTTAGCCTACTAACCAGACCCCTATTAGTTACTTAAAACACTTGTCCCACCCTTCAAGAACTAAAAGCGGAGTTTGCTCAGTAAGGTGGAAGTATTCAGCTTCTGCCAGATTCATTCAGGGGTTAGGTGTATATGTTCCCTCTTCACTTCGGTTCATCATCTTCATCGAAATTGCCACATTGTTCACGGTTAGGCTTCCTGATTACTAAATCATACAGCATTGGGAACTAACAGCTAGGGAAGACAAAACTCATAACACAATGCGGTAATCAATGACCATCTTCACAGCTTCACGTATGTACTGTGCAATTTCTGACGAAACAAACAGGTGATGATTGGTGCAAAGAAAATGTACACCAACCTGATGATCCGGATTCTGGAACACAAAGCTCTTCGGCCTCTTGACAGTGAAAGTTCCACCATTAGGGTTTAACAGACCAGCCAGAACCTGTCTAATGACCACCATAAAAAAAAATCCTACATCAGTCAATGACTCCTCTTCGCTCTTAGCAATTCCAAGGCACCACTCAAACCCCCTTTCCCTAATCTCGATTCAATTCGTCAGGACCATAATATTCCCGCGCCATTCCGCTCGAATTACTACACACACGAACTCACTTCACATTTCAAGAAAGAACTGAACTGAACTTTACCTTGAGAAGAGTAGATTTGCCGCAGCCGTTGGGTCCGAGAAGCATCCACAGCTGGCCGGAAGGGATTCGGAGGGAGCAATCTTCAAGTATCGGGACCGAATTCCCTTGCCGCGTCGCGATCGAGAAGCTCAGATTCTGCGCTTCAATTGCGAAGTCGGCGGTGGCCGCGGTTGCTGCCGCCGACCTCCGAGGCAAGAAGTGGCTTCGTTCATTGAAATCAGTCGAGTTAAAGCAATGGATAGGGGATAATCGAGGAGCGGAGAGATGAGAAAGCGCAGAGGAATCCATGGCGGCGTCACAAATGGAGGGAAAGGATTGAAATTCCTCTCGTTAAAATTCGCGCAAAAGTTATATCAAGTCTGACCTGTTCAGTAGCCAGAAACGCAAAAAGCAATACAGAAACGTAATACGTTTCGGTTTCCGAAACGAAGCGCCAATCAATTCTTATCTGGAAAATTAAAGCCAGAAGCCAAATAAACAAACAAACCTTCAATAAACCTTGTCGTTGGTCGTAAATCGTTGTTCCCCCTCTCCCAATCCGCCATGGCTGCTGTATTCTCTGCAACATTATCACGACCCCACGTCGTACCATTTCTCTCCTCATTCCCGCCAATTCTCCAAACGACGACGACTCGTCGTCTTCCATTGTCGCGTCAGCCCATTATCAGAGCTGTAAACTCAGTTGAACCAGCGAAAGAGAAAGCTGCAACCCCGACCAAGGCAGAGGATCAGCCTTCTTCTTCTCCTCCTCCTACCAATACTCTCAAGCCGAAGAAGAAGCCTGTTTACTCAAGTGGGTAATCCGTTCTTTTCCATTTCTGCCAATTGGAGCCCTCCATTTTCCAGTGTTAATGGATTCAGGGGGATTGCTTTTTTTGCAGTGAAGAAAGGGCAGATTGTGAGAGTGGATAAAGAGAAGTACCTCAATAGCATAAATGTAAGTTAATTAGTTGTTAGAACAAGCATCCCCCATAGAGTTTGGATCCATTTTGTGTGTAAAGATTCAATCTTTTGGGTTCTCCCATGCCTGGCTTGGATTTGTGTTATTGAGTCCTGTTTTCATGCTGTTCAGTACTTGTCAGTAGGCCATCCGCCATACTACAAGGGCTTGGACTACATCTATGAAGATCGCGGCGAGGTGTTCTTCTTCTTCTTCTTCTTCTTCTTCTTCTTCTTCTTCTTCTTCTTCTTCCTTTTTTTAACTCTTGCTTCTCAACTAAATTGTTAAGCAATCAACAATTCTCAGGTGCTAGATTTAAGGATCTTTGAGACAGGAGAGTATGCACTTGTAAGTACTTGATCATGAAGCACATATCCACTTACAAAGTGTGGAAGATTGAACCTCTTAATCCGCAACGATTACTTTTCTCGAATCATTATTCCAGCCATTTATTAGACTGGTTCCATCCTTCTTCTCCATATCTTCTGCAGGTTGCATGGGTTGGAGTCCCAACTGCACCAGCTTGGCTGCCAATTGACATACTCATCCAGGTAATATCGTCTTTCGTTAGAAAGTAAAAACCTTGGAAGCTCCTTTGATAATCAAAAACTGCTTCCCTTTGGTTGCTCCTTTCTGTTTTATGATGATTCTAAGTTGTTTTTTTTTTTTTTTTTTGGTCTGGTTTACAGTCTGAGAAACTCGATTATGAAAGACTGTAATTAGAAAAATGCTTCTCTTACCATAAAGCCTTGGCACTAATGCATCCAGAGCTGCAGGAGAAGTTATTCTGAAAGACTTTGTGCAATGTATAGCTTTGACTTATAAAAGGAAATTCACCAATGTAATGTATCAGATCTTTCTTCCTCATTATTTTGCTCAGCTTGCTATGTTGGAGCTGCTCGGCATGGTTCTGTCTGCACCTGAATTGTCATAGGGCCAAATTGAAAACGAAGGAAACATTCTCGATCATTGTGATTAAACATATCCAGTACAAGACCGTCCTAAGAACCCTATCAACATTCCAGAGTCCGGCGAAATCACCGGGCATCGGACAATTTTTTCTCTTATACACCAAACTTGCAGCTTATCAGTACATATGTTACAACAATGGCGGCCGCCCTCTCATTTACAACACAAACGAAAAGATGAGACCATTTTACACAATATTGATTTGGCCTCAAAACTAAAATCAAGAGAGAACCAACCAACCCTGCTATAAAACCCACGTATGCACCAAAAGTAGCTCTTGGCTTCACTCCTGGCTTACCCCAGCTCCCTTCTGAAACAAGCTTCCGGCTACTTGAGGGAACCCTCTCAGTATGGAAAGTATATATCTCTTTCTCTCTGTTCTGTATACAACTCAGTGGCGTCTCGTGATTGGCGAGCCACCTGTCATGTGGTTCGTGAGGGGAGTGGTTTCCAGGACGAAATCACTGTGAGATAGACCCGGGATTTTTCTTGTGGGCTGTAACGAGAAATCGGTCATGTTATAACCGCCGCTGCCATTTTGGCCCATCAGGGGAAAGAGAGGGTGTGGTGGAGACAGGAAACAGCTTCGGTGAGCTGGCACACTCTGCCGCAATGGGCTAGAGCAAGGGGATACAGGTAAAGAGGTGATCGTTCTCAAATCATCCCTGGACAGTGGTTATAAGAGCTATCATCAGTCACACTTCAAACAATGGCACAATGGAAGCAAATGGTGGATGAAATCTTACCTCGAAGTTCTCGGTGCTCTGACGTTGGAGATTGCAGGCTTGATAGGATACTCCGCCTCATGGGATGATGTGATGCCATTTCTGTTGTATTTAATATCCAGTGCCGGCTGCTCAGACAAAATTATATTAAGTAATCAAAGAATAGCATGCTTGGATTAAAAACCAAAGGTTTTAAATCCAATGTCTTCATATGACTGATCAAACTTCATGAAACAAATCAAACAATAACTTATAGGCATGCCTAACTTAAAGGGGTACTTCTAGTCCTTTTACAATGTCAATTTAGGAAAAAGAAACATGGTAGAGGGACAGGTTCAAATAACATAGTACAGCAACTAAAATGTCATTGACCATGACTCTGTCTCATAGTTCTAAAAGGCATGATTCATATCTGATCGGTTTAAGAGACATACCGGTGTGCGGCTTCCATCGAAGTTGTAGGGCGATGAAAGTTGGCTATTTGGCACTCTCGTTCCATGGTCCCCGAGAAAAGGGTGATCCAGCAATTGTGAGGCTGTAGGACGTAAAGATGGATCTCGTTGCAAGCATAACTTTATGAAACTCTTAGCCTCGTTGGAGAGGAAATCTGGTATTTCAGGCATATCTCTGCTATTCCCAATTTTAAATATTGCAGCCACCTATTGAATAAGCATTGAAAAGAAACAAATCAATCCATGACACCCTTTAAACGCGCTGAAGAAAAGGTGAAAACCAAATTAAAGGAGGATATTATAAATCTGTACCCCTTCATACTGGCTCCATGGAGGTTTTGAAGTTGCCATTTCGAGGATTGTACAACCCAAGCTCCATATATCCACAGCAAGACTGTAGCCGTTTGAATTCATTACAACCTGAGTAAAAAATATTTAACAAGTGGAATTCAGCTTCACGAATCCAAATATATAGTTTTAAAAGCACAGCAAAGCAAAAGCAAGGCTTCATAAGTTAGTGTGAAGCTGTTTTTACTTTAAAAGATATATATGTGGGTAAAGAAGGATACCTCAGGTGCCATCCAGTAAGGACTTCCCTTGAATGAAAGCATTGAAGAGCAATTCGTAATCTGGTAACATAGAGAATCACAAACAGCAGTCAATAATCTATGAGATTGGAATGACTAAAACAGAGAATTGAATGAGAATAAAATCATCGTATTTTTTGAACATGGTTGTAGAATTTCACATGTTTAGCCATGCCAAAGTCTGCCAATTTGATTTCACCATTAGGATCAACTAATATGTTGGCTCCTTTGATATCCCTACAATAAAAAAAACATTAAAAAATGCTTAGGAGGATAGAAACAACATTTATAATAGGAAATATAGGTAATTAGAAAATCGTTAATGTGTTGCACCTGTGAACAGTATTCCTTCCATGTAAGTAGGCTAGTCCACACAGAATCTGCCGGGTATAATTTTGGATGACCGGCTCCTTGAAGGCGCCATACTCTTGAAGTAATTTGTAAATAGAACCACCAGAGACGAACTCCAAATAAACTGAAAGTGTTTCATCGCTCTGAAGAACAGATGAAATAACAGTTATTTGAGAGCACAGTCCGGCAAACAACAATTATGCCACAATGTGTGATTGATAATTATCTGAACAAGTAGTTCATACCAATTCACTCCCGTGGTATTTAACAATATTTGGATGGGAAAGTTGACTAAGCAAATTGATCTCCTGTACACAAGAAGAAATGTGTTAACAATATGAACACCAAACAGATAAGTGGAACCAAGTCTAAAGTCAACATTCAGTTGTTACAGGTCAACACCTAGTATAAACATAATACCTGGTTCAGTTGCTTAAGACATTCTTTTGATGTCTGATCATCTGAGACAACCCTGACCTCTTTTATCGCACACATCTGCCCATTTTCACTGTCCGAACAGCCAAACAGAAGTCAGTATCCTCACAAGCTTACATATGCATGTCTGACTGATAAAAAAAGGAGGTAAACCAAGCTCTACCTATTGAAACCAAGGTAAACATGACCGAAAGTTCCCCTTCCAAGAAGCTTTCCTTTTTTCCATTTTGACAATGTCGCTGTCATGCTTTCACCCCCTCCATGATTTCTTGAGCTTGTTGTGGAAGATGAAGGACTAGTGGGTGAAGTTGGGGGAAGAGGCAATGGGTGACATTGGCTTTTGCTGTCATCGGACCTCCCAGTTGGCGAATCAAGATTCATACCGCTTAACCGCGGATGAAGGGGTGAGGTAGGCCTGCTTGTACCTCTCGAACCAGGTACAGGGCTTCTTGACCTAGGACCAGGGCTTCTTGACCCTGGACCAGGGCTCCTAGAGCCCATGTAAAACTTAGCTTCAGCTCGTCCTCCTGGATTGCCGGGTGACCTAGGTTTTGCATTCATTCCAACAGAACAGAGACCCTTAGACTGAAACATCAACTAGGATTCCCAATTCATCAAGGAAAAGAGAAATCAATCCCCCTAAATCTGAAGTCAACTACTAGAACACAGAAACTTCAAGCTTCCTAAAAAGGCAGGAAATGGAAGGAGTAATTGTAACTAGACAATACATAAACCAAGAGATTAAACCAGTCACTGCAAGACTAGGGATTTCCATTAAATCCAGGAAAAGTTTAATAAATCTCCTAAATCTGAAGCCAACAAATAAAAATCCAGACTTGCTCAAATTCAGCAACTCCAAGCTTCCAAATTGTTCAGGAAATTGGAGTAATTGGTATCTGGTCAATAGAAGGGGGAGGGAGAATTGCAAGAAGGTTTCCAATTTTTCAATCTACAGCAATAATTACAAAGAAAACTTCACAGATTGTCAATGGCCGCCTGCCCTAGAAACCATGTATTTCTCCAGAGATCAAACAAACTAGATAGCTCTAGCTAAATCCAAGGTCCACAATTCAAAAACCCCCCTAATTATAGAGACAAGAATCAGCAATCGAAGAGACCTGAAAAAAGAAAACCAACCTGTAACCGCCGAAAAACGTCGCCTGATTATCACCACTCCCAATCTGGGGCTCATCACCAGCCGACCCATTCGAGCTGACGCTGGAAACGGACCCAGAGGCCGAGCCGGAACCCGACCCAATCCCAAACCCGACTATGCCCCCACCCTGATCGCCGCCGCGATCACTGACGGACGGGCGGGGCAAAGGGTGCCCGCGCCTGTCGGCATCCGAATCGAACCCGGAGAACCCAGAAGATCCGCCGGAGGAATCTCTCCCCGCGCGCGAAGAACAAGTCAAACCGGGAGCAGCTGACGGTGAATCGGAGCTGTTCCTCCTGAAGTTATCAAGCTTGGCCAACGACTTGGGAGAAAACGAGCTCTCGTTGTTGTTGCCGCCGCCGCTGGTCGGGCTGCTGCTCTTGCTGCTGAACTTCTTCCCCCACCAAACTGAAACTGGCATGGCTGGCTGGCGGCGAAGAAATGAAAGAAGAAGAAGAAGAAGAAGAAAGGAAGGAAAAAGTTTGGAAATTGGTTGTGGGATGGGATTTATACCGAAAGGAAATTGGGAGGAAATTCGATGAGGGGGGAGTATAGAAGAAGAAAAGGAAGAAAGAGAGAAGCTTTTCTTGTATTTTTTTTTTTTTTTTCACATTTCACAATCAAAAACTACAAATTGACAACAACAAAAATGGATCTTTTTCTAATTCTTTTTTAAAATTTTAAATTATAGTTGTGATTTTGGAGGGAAGTGGGCCCGGGGAAAACGGAAGCGTCTATACAGTGGAGAAACAGCTAAGGGAGCCGGCAGCCGGTATTGGATAAAAGACCTGAAAGGCATCCTGCTGACGTGGCACTCCTTCTCCCACGGCCCCACTCCACTCAGCTTTAAAAAGCATTTTGGTTACTTCTCAATAGATTTTTGTTAATATATTTGTATGTGGATGAACTTTTCATATGATAAATATATTGGTCAATTTTTTCGATTTATAATATTATTATTTGAATTATATATCAAAATAATGAAATTTGTCAAACTCGAAAAATTGGCCGTTATCTTAAACAGTCAACGCGTCACATCACCACCAAATCAACACCTTTTACTTAACAAATTTAATATTTTCCACATATTACTATCTACTAAAATAGGACTATACTTTAACATGTGTGAAAGTCTAAATATTTGATTGGTTCATCACATAGTTTTACGATGGAGCACTGAATCACTAAAAAAAGAAAGAGTGAGTTGTTTACTAAATTCAAATCTAAAATCTTTTTTATAATAGTGAAATTTTATTTCTTATAATAGTAATAATAAAGAATTTCTTTAAATGAGAAGTATCACAAATGACAACTAGTTTACTACACTTTTGAATAGCTAGGTTGATGCGAGGAGGGGCTATAACGCCCGTAAAATTCGTAACAAATTTAGGAAGTAAAGTAGTAGGTAAGCCTTTAACTTCCCCTTTTCCAATTATCATAGTTCAACTCAGCTTCTCTTATTCGAATTTCTTACTTCGCCTCTACAAGATGGGTTTGTTTATTTGGAAGGGTGCATGATATCCTTATTTGATTGTTTTCAATTGGTGACGGTTCATCTTTACTACCGGTTGTTATGGGTTGTCGCATCACTACAAGATATGCTAGCCGTAAGTTATGCTATCAGAATTCAATCTTACATCCTTCATTGTTTCAATAATCAAGTAGAATGGGTTGTTATCAAATCTTAAGCAAATGTTAATGTTCATCATCATGCTATTTTGATATAACTCCCTGTTTCCAATTGGTTCTTGAGGGGAATCTACTTTTTAGAAAACATACTTTGAATAGCCGGTTAGTTGTTAAGTAATAGAATTTGATGGAATGGAATCATTTAAAGAACAAATTGAAGCCCTTAATTATTCCACAAGGTCGGGACCAGGGAGTTGCAGCATAGTCTGTCTATATGGTGGCGGTGAGATCCAATTGAGGTAAGCTATCCTTGCCATTCTTTACTATTCTTCAAGTCAACCAAGAGATTGAAAGAAGAAAACATAAAACAAGATAAAAAGAAATGAATTTCCACATCATACTTGTAAGAATGTTGATGTGTGTGAGAGTGAATGATATAAAATTCATAATTTAAATATTTTTTATCAATTAGATACATTAGGAACACCTTATTGACAGATTGGTACTATAGAGCATTTGATGATTGATAGGATATTTGGACATGTGCACACTTCAAATCTCATAAAGTAACTCGTGTTAATTTAAGTGGATGCGACAACTCGAATAATTGGGACGAACTGAGTTTTGACATCGCAATTAATCTTCTCGAGTTGTAGTGCTTCAAACCTTCAATTTTTATGAGGTGATACCTTATCCTGAATGATGTTTTGGGTGGTCAAATTCTGGCAATCGTTGCTTGGTACGTGATGTCTAATGCACATGATCAACTGGATATCTGACACCTCTTTGATTGGGCACAACTTTGTGTCACGATACTTCTTGGCCAGTCCATCTGGTGGTCTGAGGCTGTATGGATTCTTAAGTATCAGTATAAAATTTCTTAAAATTGTTAGCAATGGAAGAGAGAAGATATGAGAGGATAAAAAGTCTTGTTAGAAAGTAGTAATTGATAAGTGGTGACTACTACTAACTAGAGATGAGACAATATAACACTCTCGATTCATCCGCCACCTTTGCCTAATTTGGGTTCATGAACTTGCTTTGTGTCAATGTCACTCTTAGCTACATAAAACGTGTAGCTAAGTACATTCCCAATAAACAAATGTGGTTAATTTCTCCATTGCTAGCGTAAGCTTGAGGTTCTTGTGGGGGTATAGTAATTAAATATTAATTAAGAACAAAACAATTTTGATTAATGCTAAATATATATAATATTGCAGGGATTGTTATGTATAGTTGGAGTAGTTAGTGTCTTCATTGTAAACGACAAAATGTTGTGCACGTTTTATCAATTTTACATCATCTTCTTGCTAGGGTTTCCAATTTGTCCCTCCTAGCTAGCTAATCCAGATTGTGGTTTGTAATTTTCTTCCCCGATATAACCTATGCTTATGTAGGCTCCAATCTAGAAGGAGGAGAAGCTAGATACATTTAAGTTTTTTTATGAGAGAATTTTAGGTGTCATCTGAAATTTCGTTGTGGCTTAGTCATCATAGTATTTTTTTTTAACGTTGATGGGTCGTCTCATTAATACGAAACATGGTGTACATGGTTGAAACAACAATGAAAGGAAGGAAAAGGCCCACCGAAAAAGAAATCTAAACTAGGCTTTACATCGGCCCAACACCCAAACCAAGGCCCAAGGCCTGATCCAAACAAGTGGATCACGAAAGCCTAATCTAGAAACCCTACATCAGTTGACCAAGCATTGCCTGGTGGCCTCCGAAAGCATCCCCTATCTCCAAAAACACGCCGCACCAACTCCTACCAACATGAGACGCCCTTCGACGGGGAAGAATCACCAGAAAGGACAACACATCGCCGATGAGAGGACAACGGCCGCAAGAAAGGACATAGGGAACCAAACTCATAACCTCTCCAAGATCTACCTGCAACAACAGACAAACCAGAGGAGAAACCCCTGAACAAGGACAGAACCGTGGCTCCTCAAACCCACAGATCTGAGCAAATCGGTCAAGAACCCACCACAATAATGCCTTCCCTGCTCTCAAGCTCCCCAAAAGTCTATCCAAGAACACAAAGGCCCATGCATCTCCCAAATCATCCCCAGCTATGGATGAAGAGAATGGAGGTAGATAGAAAAATCAGAGAGGAGAAAGCGAACCGAAAATCGGCACCCTCAAACACCAACCCGGAGATCATCCACACAAGATCTGGAAACCAGCAAGGTGGGAGCAAAATACATCTCAACAAGGAGGGAGAGAAGTCATCATCCATGGGAAGGAAGAAATCCAGAAAGGGGAGGAACAAGCATGAAACAACAAGGAAAAGGAAAAACAAAATCAAAGGGAAGAATAGAACAACCTAATAAAAGAAAAGAGAAAGGGACTTGATTTTTTTGAGGGCCACTGCCGGATCCAGGGGAAACCAACGGCAGCCCCATGAGAATCAAAAAACTTTGGTGTCTAGAGAGAAAAGAGAACGTTAGAGAGAGTGTGGTGTTCTGCGCCTATTCTAGTCATCATAGTAGATACTCCCCAATACCCAAAACAAGTGGAACATGTCATAGATATGACATGTTCCACTTGTTTTGGGTATTGGGGAGCAAAAGATCTAAACGAAGGGAGTTCATAAAAATGAAGTGAAAAGGTATTGAACCTTTGTGGCTAAATAAGAGGATCAAAGTCTTACAAATTATTATATATCTCAAACTTACGGCCATCGGTTTGAGGTGGGGTCGGACATGAGTTTTTCTTCTAGTCGATCTTTGATTGCATGCTCATGTTTTTTATTTAATTATGATCTAATTCTCATTCATATTTTAAGTATAGCATAGTCACCTTCAAATAAAATGTTCTCTCACCACCAGACTTCAGTAGTCATTTGGTCTTGCTCTAAAAAATAGTATGATTTCATTAATCATTTTCATTCTCTCGCTTTTTATTTTTAAATCTTCTTTCTCAATTATCTCTTGACAAAATTGACTTGTCGCGTCTCTTTACCTCTTCTTTCTGTCACACGCATATATATCTAAATGAAACCATATGTCTCGACTCGTATTCTTCAAATCGGATATTCTTTGATCTAACTCATACGTAGCATGCGGGCTAGCGTGAGTATGAGTATGAGTATTACGATATCGATACTATTATGTCCTAAATATATTATAGGATAATGCAAATCTCAAACGGCAAACACTCATAAGGCAATGGAATGACAATTTTCCCCTCTATTGTTGTCGTTAGAGCTATTTGAATCCATCAACCGCAAACTACTTCTGCCGACCAAATAAAACTTGTCACTTGTTGTGCGTTAAAATGGTAGTGGGCAGTGGGTATTAGAAATTTGGACATTTGGCTGGCTTTAGCTCCCAATCAATCTTTTCAAGTGCAAGCAAGTGGGTCTTTCCACCACAACAAGCCATCAAAGGACAGCAAATCTCTTATTATATGCTTTTTTTTGCTATAAAGGACAGCAGATCTCTTTACAGATCAATCACTACATAAATGGTCACCAAACTTTGGAGATTAGTAAATTAAACAACTAGTCATTCCACGTTGATCTTAAAAAAGCTATAGTCAATTACATAATTGGTAAGTAATTTGGTTTTTTTTCACCCGTTAAACGGGTTTGTTTCTTAGATCGATGGATGGTTGATCACTATATGATAAATAGATTTAGAGTTCGAAACTGATTTCAACAACAGCTCGCCGTGTTGTTTGTCCGAAAATTCTCATATTAATGAGGTATAAAGATCATTTTGTCATTTCACTCTACTCTTGTTTGCTATAGAGTATGATTTTGTTTCTAGGCTTTGTTCGGTTTTTTAAGTTTTATTATCTACTTACATTGGTAATTGGCTAACAAAAAAAAAGTAAATGACATATTTGGTCACTGATATTACTAAATCGTATCATGTTTAGTCACTAGAAAAATCTAATATTAATTTTGGTCACTCGAATTATTGAAACATGTCACTTTAGTTACTCTCCCATTAGTTTCCGTCGAACTCCATTAATGTCAGTGACCATGTTTTAGTAATTCAAGTGACCAAAATTAATATTAAATTTTTTAGTGACTAAACATGACACAATTTAATAATCTCATTGATCAATGATTAATTAATTCGGTGTTATCAACCTCTCATTTCAGCTCACATGATCCTAAAGTTGAGTCACCATTTTATACGACCGATTCCCCTGTTCCTATTTTTTTTTTATATTTTTTTTATAACGATTGGAACCTTACCATACATATCCAAAAGCTTTCCCTACTGGTGGCTACTAACGATTGGAACCCACAAAAGGAGAAGTTTTCTCTCCAGCTAGAAAGTAGAAACGACGCGCCAAAACCAACCAACTGACCCAGTAATCCATCCCACCCACATAACACACAGCCCCATCTGTAATCTATCTACTCAAATATTAATGAACACTGACATCATCAATCAATTAATTCACTCTCTTAAAATAACGTCACTGCTGACTATTTCTTCCTTCTTCTTCTTCTTTATTTGGAGTCGTCGAAAGATTCCAAAGAAATTCAATTCCGTCCGTCCGTACAACCCCTGCTTCCTTGAATTTTCCACTGTACGGTACACTTCAAAAACTTGCAGTTAGTTTTGCTGCTGCAGACTTGGACCCTGTTGACTCGATCATCCTACAGAGAGATGGTGTCTCTCTCTTTACTCAGCCATTTTTTAGTAGTTTAGTCACGGCGGCGACCCAGCTGTTGTCTGTTGGGCAACATTCCATATTCAATCAAAGAGTCAGCTACCCAGCCATGAAACCGCACCGAGTGGTCCCTCCGGAGAATCACTTACTGGAGTCTAAACCGATAAGCAATTTTCATCGTATTAAACGATTGAACCACAGTTTCACCAGTATTGCTAACTTTCCTTCTCAGTAAAAGGTTTTACAATCCTTGATTTCGTCACAAATAAGATCATTGCCCTAATTCCAAGTACTATGAGGAATACTACAATTGGTTAGAGCAGGTTCTAGATGACCATGGCTTTGTTCGTTTGCTCGTAGCTTGTGAAACGACGCATCGTTGTGATGCTTTGTGTATGTGGGAAAGAAACATTGCAATTTAGCTGAACTGCTATAATTGTAGTCAATTAATGAATGTTCTTGGTGCTAATGACTCGTAGAAGCCCTAAGCTTTACGGCCCCCACAGTCAATATCAACAGCAATTCCATCTTACAGCCATTCTTCAACTCCGGCAGAAGCCGCCTGCCGTCCTCCGCCGTCGGCCGGGGAAAGAAGTCTTGCCGCCGGGAAAACCAGCAATTCGCGTTCCAAAACTAAAACCAATTATTCTTTATTTAAATTCAAGGCTTTCATTAATCCGCCGCCGTTTGGGAGGGGGTAACGTACGGAAAAACTGGGCTTTCGTTTGACAAAACCCCAGAAAACTCCTCCTCAATTTAACAGAACAGAAGGCCCATAAGTTTGATAGACCAATGGCGTTTCGTGAAGCAGGGCAGGCCTACGGCTGGCGAGAACGGGAAACCCGAACAAAATAGAGAAACGGGTATCAGAAACGGGCGAAACGGCTCAGAAAGGATTCTTCATTAATTTAATCGAAGGCTCAAAGGAACGAAAACCCCCGCAGCTTTTGGATAGGGAGGTAGGCGGACGGCCCGGTAAATCTGGGCTCTCGTTAGACAAAGGGCCCGAATACCTTTTTCTCTACTTATCCCAAGGCCCAAAAAACTAGAAGTGGCCCGCCGTTTCGTGAGCAAGGTAGGGGTAGGCCGGCGAAAACAGGAAAGCCCTGCAGAACGGAGAAACGGGCACCCGAAACGGTCGAAACGCGAAACGTTTCTGGTCCTCAAAATCAAAATCGAAACGCGAGAAATTGACGAGAAATTGAAATTGACGAGATATCGCGATAAATCGATTTATCGCGATATTTACGCGATTTATTGACTTTTTTGCGATATATTGACCTGGTATGAACTTGCCAGTCGAATAGCTGGAAAATTGAGGGGAGACGGGGGGGAAACTCCGACGATTGAATAAAAATACGGGGAAAGAACACGGAAAAAGATTCCACTCACGAACTGTGCGAAGATTCTTGCATCTCATTGTGATTAATTCGGTTTCCAGAATGGGTTCTTTGGCCACTGCAGAAACTTGTACTGTGAACTCGGAAGAATCGTAGGTTTCTGGTTCTTGTGCGATATTTATGAACGATTACTGCTTCGCTTCGGTGAATCTGGAGCTATGGTGGAAGCAGAATTAATCCTCATTGAGCCAGCCAAAGGGCTACGTCGTTGACCAATCTGCAACAGCCATTTCTGCCGGCAAAGATTTTCCCGGCGACTTTGCCGGAGGCAGCTGAAGAAATTCCACGTGGGAACTCTCTGAAGAAAAAATCTTACCATCTGTAGTAAGTTCAAAAATCTTCCCAGAAATCTATGAAGTGAAAACCAACGCTTTTCCTATTCCCAATGATTGCCATTTATGAAAAGAAGTTACTGTCAGTGATGTTGTAGAGAAGTTGATATTTGAAGGTTCTGCCATTGGAAGCCTAAGCCTAATCCTAAGCTTCCTTCTTTCAAACAAGAAAAAAAGAAAAGGAAACAAGGGAAAAGAGGTCATTAGTAGTGTAGTTATGCTGAAAGAATTTATCAATTTCAATCCCATCTTCAAATCACACTAAACAAAAATTACAAATCCTCAACATCCTCTACACTCCAAAGAAGCAATCAACGAAAGAACGGATCCAAACCGTGAATCCAACAATCGATTATCGAGGGCAGGGAAGAACTACTACATTAACCAGAATCACACCATTTCATCCGTGGGCACAAGGAATTCGTCACAGCGATTATACACACACAGGACACAAAATGTTATTTCCACACTAGGATTCGAGACTTTCGTGGCCTGGGAAGACCACCTAACACATGTTAGTTAGTAGGGGCGGCAGCGGCAGCAACGACTATTACCTGGATTCGACACCATGAGTCTCCGAGCCTCTAAGGAAGGACCTTCGCCACCATACCTGGAACGCTTTCCCGAGATTTATACACTCGTTCCCATGCTTCGAGAAGTAACTAAACCACTCCATGAACAGCTCGTGCTGCATCGCCAGGGGAAGTGTGAGCAGCGACTGACCGATTGCTTCTTCCAACACCTTCAAATCCAAACCCTTCTTGCACCTCTGAATCCAACCGAAATTGTGCAACATGGGACGAAACCACGTCTGGAAAAGCTTTGATCTTGATTCGAATTGACAATGCAGCCTCCTGGTCCCCATGGCGATGAACAGTGATGCTGAGACTCTACTGAGCTCGTATCTAAACAATGGCGAAGCTCCCTCGTGGAGCTTTTCGAGTTCTTCTTGGTTACCCCACATGTCGACGAACTCCTCAGCCATCTGCCACTCGAGCAGGATCTCTAAAAGCCAGTTGATGTTGTCGACCTGCATCGAAATCCTCTCGACCACAGGCCTAGTAGCAGCTGATGTTTTCTTTTTGGCTAGTATAGTGTCGGTTTTAGGCTGTACTGATGATGATGCCTCGTCAAAGAGGCAGGCTAGGGAATCGAGGCAGCTCTGGCAGATAACATACACATCTGCCTTGTTCAGGCCAGGATGTTGTTTATCATAGACCGAGCTCTTGGAGACAAGCCCCTTTACCAGAGCTTTCAACTCATTTCTCGCAAATGGATCGGCGCAAGAGGTGATTGACCAGAGAAGTTGCTTGGTCAAACTCCATTGTGAGTCCTCGCTCGATTCCTGAACATAAAGTCTGTCTACAATGTCTCGAGTTGCTGCTTCATCGAACTTATGGATGTTCATTAGGAGTCTGAGCTTTTCTTCTTCCTCTTCCGTCCAAGGTACTGCTGCAAGGTAGTTCAAGCACGATAAGGCGCCTCGGCTGAATTTAAGATCAGCTGATACCTGAGACCAGTCCCCAAACATATAGTTAGATCATTCGGCCGAACACAAGCTGAGTTTCACGTGTTTAACTAACTCTGCTCTATCTATCTATCTTTCTCAAACAATTCTCATGCACCATTGAAAAGCACAAGCACTGAATTTAACAATCAAATGAAGACCCACCAAACCATTCCTACCATTTCCACAGAGCACAATCGATTCAATTGGACTCATCCATTACATTTGGAATGGGGCAAAGAAAGGGTTTTCAGGGAGAACCATACCTCAAGAATAGAAATTGCGCGATAAGCCCCACGCTTCAAGAGCTTGGAAGTAATGTCGTCTTCAAACATCAACTCAATCGTATCTCTGAAAACCCCGAGGTTCTCCACATCAGGGACCTCAATTCGACAAACCTTCATCGATCTACTCCCACCACCATTACCATTACTGTTACTCCGATTCACCTTGTGCAAACCCTTCCTGTACTCGGCCACCAGCTCCCCCAAGACCTCCGAGTTCGCCATCAAAACTTCGGAGCTCATCTCCAGCACCATCGTCCCGCCTCTCCTCCCTCTCAAATTCAACCTCACGTCAAACGAATCCCCGCTGCCGCCCGGATCCAACCCGAAATGACCCGAACCCGAGCCGGCACTGGAGCCCTCGGCGGGAGCACACACCAGCGCTCCTCCACCACCATCGTTCCTTCCTCGGAAGGAAGCAGACCTCACGGATCTCGCACATTCCACTTCCTCCTCCTCCGCCGCCGCCGGAAGGGCGGCGGCAGCGAGTTGTTCCTCGGCCGCCATCCCCGTCGACCCCGCGGATACCACGAGCTCCCCGGCGGTGGGATCGGAGTCGATTGGGGAGACCCGGCCAGGGGAGAGGATCTTGCGGGGGTCAATCTTGCCGACGAAGCTCAATTTCAAGCTCTGAGGCGAGTCGTACGGGAGCGAGTGAGAGCGAGTCGTGGTCTTCGAAGGGAACTCGGACTTGGGCCTGGGCTTGCGCTTGGGGTTGGAGGATGGGAGGGCGTGGCCGTAGTCGGGGCTTTTGCAGGGAGGATGAGTGATGGAGCAACACCACGAGCTCCGCCGCTGCCGGCGGCGCGACTCGGCCATTTGTGTTGTGGGAGAGGAGATGACTCGTTCGTCGGCGGGAAGGGGTACCGAGTCAGGAGTAGTGGCGAGTTGGAGGGAGAAGTGGAGAAGAGGAAAAGCACATGGCTCCGCTGGGTTTTTTCGGTACTTTCCTTTTTTTATTTCTCTCTAGTGGTGGGTTTGGTCGGAGCGGTTTATATATATAGTTCGGAGGCCCGAAGTCCGGGGAAGGGAGAAACCGGATCCGTGAGAGAGAGAGAGAGAGAGAGGGCTTTCGTGCCTTGGAAATTGTGAGAATTCTTTGTCCTTTATTTTATCGTTGTTAAAAAAAAGAAATAAGTTTATCGTTGTTATAAAAAAAAAGAATAAGTTTATATAAAATAATGATGATAATCATCGTCGATTTTCATACGATTCAACGGATGAAAATTTGGTGCTTACATTCTTTAGTAAGTTAACATGACATTGCGATACAAGTGTTGATAGTTGCAAGAGTCATTGATAGATTACATATTAAGAATTATGATGATATACGCATATGATACATGTGATTTTGAAATTAAACAAGAAAAAAACTGGCTATCAATGATCTAAGATACTTTGTGTTAAACTTCGACCCGAATGAGCATAGTAATGTGTATGCATACAGAACCTCAAGCTTAGGAAATGAAATTTTTCATTTGGGATGGATTGTATGGAATAAAATGATATTGATATACGGTGTGTTATTGAAGCGTTGGTAGAAAATAAATGAGAAACTAATTTATAATGTTAATTAACTAGGGTCTAGGGATGGTACAACAGTTCCTCTTATTCTTTCATATGGGTTTTATCATTCTATGTTCTTAGTTACTCTTTGAAGTTATTGTTTAGGTGAAGCAAACTAGGAAAAAGGGAGGAATGAAGTACAAAGAAGGAAAAGTTCTTTTTCTCGTTTTCCCTCTTGTGGGTTTTACAAGTGTTCTTAATTTTCTCGTTCCTTTGTCGTTTTTGTTATCTTGTGGCTTGTTTTTTTTACCAACTAATCCGGCCAACAAAAAGTGTGATTCTTTCTTCAGCGTATTCATGATGATGGATAGGTCTAAACGCCAGTTCGGTTCATCCTAAAATTATATCTGAATTTTGAAACGAGATATTTCCGAAATGAGAGTAAGAAATTATAAAAGTTACATACAAATAATTGAGTCAAATTGTGTTTTGATATCATTGTAATACGGTCCTTAGAACGATACATCCGAAAGTCTTACCGAATTTAGTGTGAAAATTTTTTGTTCATCATTTTCCAAATTTTTATTCCTACAAATTTACAGACGATTCCATAACTACAGGTAGGAAGAGGCTGAAAACTCGAACGCTACCTGTCGTTTCTTCTGGGGGTTTAGCACATGGATTTGTACGTAAGTAAGATAATTAGCTTCACAAATATTATAATTAGACTCAAGAAGAAACGGACGAGGGGCAAGACGCAAGAGTTAACAACATTATCTTTCTTTTTTTCTTCCTTTCTGGTCTTGAGATTTTAGGACGGCGACGTGGAGCCAGCTGAGCAGATCGGACGATATGGTAGGTCGTCGCCGGTCGTCGGCCAATTGGACTTTATCACTGACGTGGGGTTTCGCAGTTGGAAAGCAAGCATGGACGATCGGCCCGGCCGGCCCCCCATTGTTTACCGAAAGTAGTTATCCGCTAATAATAATAGAAAGAACAGTCTGTCGTTCTTGGTAAGCATGAAAATAAGTGCCAAATTCACTTGAACATTGAACGGGAGAAAATAAGTGATAAGACGCATTTTTAGTCGAAATTTATGAGCTCCTGTAAGAACTAAAGTTAAACATGTTTTGTGTAAAAAATATGATACTTAGCTCATAGCCAACCTACGATTCTAGTAGCGATAGGCTTTTTCATGCTTCGCTTTCGAGGAATAGGCACTGGCAACCACTAGTCAGTCAGCATCCAAACATAAACAAGCAAATTGCTAAACTCTTCTTCTCTTATTGGCCAAGTCAGAATATACAGAAACCATTTGGTAAGAGACAGCCCAACAAAACAGAGTGGGATTATAGAAAACAAGAACGGGTTTGAACCGTTGCAAAGCATATAGAAGGCGCAAAACCGCTCTTTTTTTTTTATGCGCACCAAATGGCATGCTACCGCTGCTGCTGCTGCAAAAGCTAAGAAAATGATGGACCTTATCTGAATTCTGACGTATCGCTGGTTTTTACTTGTGCTTCTTCCCGCCGGAGAGGATCCGTTGGATCTGGAGACCTCTGCTGAAGGCTTGGTTGAACAGAAGCCTGTTCTGGAACTCGGACACGAACGGGAACCAGGCTAGGACTGCTATGGGGAGGAAGAGGACCAACGCCATCATGTACTCGTACCCTCTCGCCAATGCCTTCACCGATCCCCACATCTTCAACCCCTTCACTATCGGCTTGCACGCTTGCGATATCTGTGTTTTTTAGCACCAGACAGGATCAGATGGACGGAAATAAAAACCAGTGAATCGAATACAACTCTAATCCAATTGCAAGTTTGCAACAATCCTCGCCTCATTTTTTCACCCGGGAACAGAGACTACAGACTTCAGTGCTGCCACCTAAGAACTACTTCCAATAAATTTACATTTTTTTTCACTTCTGCTACTGAGAAACAGTCCAGGCCACCACATATCAAGGTTCTAAGTCAGCTTAGCAGGTTTTAGTTACACTTCCCACAGTCAGTTAAATGAAAATGTCTACACTATGCTGCTACTTCGTAATGAATGAGCGATCTAATATCAACAATCCTCCCCCACAAATCAGTTCTTCAAAGATGATTATGAAATTTATCATTTCAAATAGAGTTTGTAAATGCATTCGATCAAACAGTGGCGAATATCCGTACCTGTAGAAGTGCCCAGCCGGTAGGGAGGAAGGCCAACAAGCTCTGAAACACATCTCCTACTGTGAGATGGAGTGTAGTGAAGAGGATGATGAGTGTGACCACGAAACCAATGAAGAGCACGAACTTGAGAAGTCTGAACATTAGCTGGAAGTCAGCGCTGAACTTCTTTCTACCCGTCGACACAATCTGTATGGGGTGAAAGTCATCAACTTAAATTTCACGGTGATTTTTGCAAATTCACAGCAAGGTCGAAAACAACAATAATATTTACCTTCAGGATTACCATAAGAGCGACAATGACCAGCCATGACAATCCATAGACCTGCAAAATTATGGATCATTAACCCGCAGAGTAAAATTCATAGATGACCAACAATAGAGAAGAGGGGACAACTAATTGCCCTGGTACGCATAAACCCGTGACTCATTAGGACCCAAACTTTCCGATTTTAAGTACTTGTAACTTTCTCTCTTATGGTAATCCTACTCAAAACCAGCCCGCTTATCAAGTTCTAGTGATTCTTTTACCACCCATTAACGACCTGTTTTCGACCTCCAACAGTATAGCAGAAATGAGAGAGTTATATATAAATACTCACAGATAGGCTATGTTCTCGTCCAGCAGACGTGGCTTGGGTGACTTTCAGCTGGTAAACGATGCCGTACTGATAGATGAAGAAACGTAAAGCAAGGATGACCTCACAAATCTGCCCAGAGATCCCCGTGTACTGGAGGTGCTCTTGTTCCTCTTCCCACCACGACTCCCAGCTCTTATTCGCAGGCACACCAATCCCTCCCCGGCTGCCTATCCACTTAGTCCAGTCATCCCAATCGTCAACGACCTTCTGCCACTCGAATCCTGAAGGATTGAACAGGAAAGGAGCGAATAGCCACGACCCAACCAGGAACCACATGGAAGCCGTGAGGAGCACGTAAGCTACCTGGCCGGTCACGGCTTTACCATATATCTGGTAGCATATAAGGAGCAGCATGAGCTCCAGGGCCTTGACGAAGTGGGATCTCGAGTACATACGATAGTTTTCAGCAAACTTCTCATGGCGGACGACGAAGCCACGACCGGTTGCTCGGTACTTGGCGCCACCATGGAGGACAGTACGGCCGTAGTAGTGGGTACGTGTTCCTAGGGAGAAGGTGAAGAAGACGGAGGCTAGCTGTAGTTGCATAATAATGATATCACCTAGTGCTGTTCGGAAGCCTCTCTCGAGGCCCATCTCCATGACCATGGGCAACGCGGTGAGGAGGCCTAGCTGGACCACGGACTGCGAAGCCATTGCTGATTTCAGTGCAGTGTCTCCTCTGTGCTTTGCGAACTTGATTATGGAACCTTCCAATCCACTCAGTGCTAAATACAGTCTCCCATATAAGAAGGCATAAACTGTGAGGACCACCATCTGCAAGGGAGCGAGTGAGAAATGTTGAAACAAGGAAATATATTTGCACGTTTTGTTGGGTAGGTATCAGCATCAACTTTGATCATGGCGTCTCAAATGAGGTGGGTATTTTTAGATGTGCCCAGTGTTCGAGTTGACAGATTCGGTTTCTTGTCACTTTCTTCAAATAGTAAGCTAAAATCTGAAGTGGATGGCTAACCTGTCTTAGTTATCCAGTTAACTGGAAGCCAAGCTGGCTAAATAGATTTAAACGGATTTGGTTTACGTCAACACTGACCGGTTTCACATTAATGGTTGGAGGATTTTTTATAATAACAGGAAACTATAATATAACCGAAAACCGTAAGTATACTTTACTAGAGAGGGGAGCGGAGGACATACCATTGAGCTTATGTAGAAACCGATGGTCGTATAGTAAAACGACAACATACGGAAGAAATCAAAACGATGGCCTAGTCTATAGATGTCCCTGCTGAGTGTTTGCTCGCCATTACCGCATGCTACTTTGGCTTCAAACAAGGAGATTTGGTTAAGCCCAACATCTCGACCTTTGCCAACTTGAATGTACTCATGGTGGGTGACGTTTCCTCTTCGGAGAGTTGAATTGAATCCTGCATGACAGGATGTGCATTGGTATAGAATTAAGTGGAGAGAAATCTTCTGAAAGATGGGATGGTAGACTCGACTCTTTACCGGCGAAGATATCCTCACTCAAGTTGATGCCACGAGAAGCCTTGCTGACACCCCCACGGGTTATGTGGAAAATTCTGTCAAACACATCTGGATGCCCGTAATGGAATCGTATCCTAAATAACAAAAGTCAATTAGAAAAAAAGCATCCCACACGTCAACAAGTTAGGGCAAAATTCTCCGCTGACATGATCATGAACCGAGTTAATTCACTAAATAAACATGGGAAATCAAGGAGAAAAAGTTAAGACTCTGAGAATTTTCTCCAACTCTAATAGCTTTATCTTGACATAGTAGCTTGAAGAGTGGGATAACCATGCAGGGTAAATGGAATAAAGTAAGAAGTACGTACTTCAAGGGCCGAGCAAGAACTCTTTGACCAAGGGTGACGAAACTTGTTTCTTGATTTGACATGAACCAAGCCAAAGAAGAAACACTGAGCATAATAAAAAAGAAAATTTGTTAGATATAGAACCTAGCATTCATAAGCAATAAACGATTGGTCAAGAAGACAAATTTTATCCAACCTTCCAGTAAAAATATGCTCACGGACACCTAAAATTGTAGGTGGTCGCACCCCATGATCCTCATGAAATTCTTCAAGAAGGTTGCGCACTTTGAAAGCTTCTTCTAGATAGTTATCCTACAAAGACAGGGATCACATCTTTTTATACATAATGAAATGATATGCAAGGGTTGCAGCAAACAGAACATCTGTAGATTTATACCTGATTCATATCAATGGCTTGCATGGCCTCCCCTCTAGTAAATACTACAGCATGATTCTGATTTTCAGGCTTTCCTTCACCTAGTTTTGCTGAACCCGGCAGTTTGATACGATAAATTTCCTGTGGGACGTGACACGAGACAATTAACATCAACTATCTTTTGTGGATGCAGTTGATAAACTTAGACCAGCTTGTGTGGAAAATGACCTGATCAAGATTATCAAAAGCTTTGACCAGCACTGAGTAATAAACTTTTTGTGATTTTCCAGAATCTCGCTCTTCTATTTCGTCGATATATGCAACACGGAGAGAAGGATTGCTGCAGAAGCAACATCAAGGGATCAAAAATCAGCTAGGATTCTTGAATCAACAGTTCAAAATTAATTAAAGACAGCAAAGCTTATTGCCAAAGATAACGTACTTAACCATCAAATTCAGGATGTTTGTTGCATGGCGATCTCCTTTTCGCTTCTGATTTCCATAAATCTGGCAAGTGGCCACATATGTGAATTTCATGTCAGCTACTGCCTCCAACTGAGCAGAGAGAGATCGTTGACTTTTCTTGTCTTCCTCAGATGGGTTTGTAATAGCTTTATAGCCAGCTAATATCTCTGCACACCAGATTCAGATCTTCAAAACATCAAACCCATTCTTCAACCTCGTATCTCAGAAAGGAAAGGAAGAAGATTTGGCACCAAAACTAGGCTATTGCGAGTTACTAAAGTTCCACTTTGGGGCAGCATTCACCCGCTGAGCTATACAGGAGACAGAAACTCGAACAGCTAACAGAACTGTGTCGTCACTAACTAAGGCTTTGTCTTCTCCGGGAACAAAGAGATAAGCACATAACACTAACTGGTTGGGTTTAACTTTATGTTAACAACATATGAATAACAATAAGAAATTTATAATAAAAAAACACTACGAAAACAGTTACTAGTTGGTTAGTTGGTTCCTTCCACAACTAACCAATGAAGGATTTGTATATTAATTCAAACCAGCATGTTGGATAACCTGAATCTGCATCCAGACTGGACCTGTATGTTGACATCTTTTACAAACTTGTTTCACTTATTGCAACTAATTCCATCGGTTAAATTTGGCGAGGATGACTACATCTAACAGCAGAAGAAAAACTTTCACGATCGAAATAAAATAAGCACTAATTCACTTACCACTCTCATTAGCCATGTCAAGGAAAGCCTGAAGTTTCAGAGCTCTTCTATAATACATCATTCCTCTGACTGCAACATCAGCACAAAGTGGTCAGTATAAGCTAACAAATTCAATTTTGAGGGAACTAAAATTAGCCTCGATCACCTGTGCGACAGAGTGTTTGGCCCCTTAAGGAGGCCCAATGGCGGATCTGCAAGATATTTTCTTCATTTTCCCAAACTTGACTCTCTTTCTTACAATTAATTCGCTCCATGAAGTTTGTCCATTCGTCTGGCAGCATTGCAAAAGGACTATCAAGTCAGATATAGATAACCTCCTTCTCTAATTCCAAAAGAATCAAAATCATGATTGAGCATCCCACCTGGATAGATTTTTTGCAAATAGTATATAATGGACACACCATCTTCATTTTCCATTTCAAGGTCAGATTTAGAGTAGACAGTTTCCTCACTATAGTATGGGGTCATAACACTGTCACGGCAACAGAAGTAAAGTTAAATTATATGGCAGAAATTTGTTAACTGTGAAAAGATCTTTTTCATATATTCACAATGGTAAAATGAACAATTTAGGGTTACGAATTTGAGTGCTTCCTCATAATTAGGACTATCCACAGACAAAATTTAGGACAGTTCTGTGTCTATGAATGGTTCTAAAGACTTTCCTGAACAGCCCTATCAAGTCATTTCATGGGAATAACGCATTTTCATTCAGAAATAACCCCTTTGCTTTTCTTTATCGTCAGTCAATAATACAAAGTTTCATCAACATTAAAAAATAAAACCAAACTTTTTACGTAATCAGAAAACAAACCTAAATGAAAGCATTTTGCGAACTCGTGGAGCACGTGGCATATCCATGAACAAGGAGTTCGTGAAAAATGCAATCCTCCTGCGTGCTTCAAGATTAGTTGGTACATCCATGGCAGATTCTTTTACCGTCAAAAGAAGATGCAACCGTCTTATCTGGAGGAAGATTAGGAAAAAAATTCAGGCACCTGGACGGTAAAATCAACCGCTAATCAAAAGCTTAATAGCTCAACGGATCAGATAAAAGCAGTTGTTACCTGTTCATCCCACTGGGCAGAAGCTGGGGGAGGAAACACTACAGCAGGTCTCTGATCTGTACCAGCAAAAAGTTGTCTTCCTGAATCCTTGCCACTATGTCCAAGGTCTACTAATTCACTGCAGTGTAACATGGAAACATTAATGGTTATTAAAGAAACAATTGTGACAAATGATAACATAGAACCAAAAGATATACCAACCGATTCTCGTTCACCATCAGATCCCGGGTGACCAATTCCAACATGTCTTGAAGCAACAGCACCACATCATCTCTCTTGGAAGGATCACCATCTTTCTGCAACATAAGGAAAGAGTCAAAAGAGGAGAATCATATTTACATGTTCACGGACTTTGAACATCACAAGTAAGTAAAACACCAATAAATAAGAGACCCACCAGGATTCCCACAAGCACTACAACTTTTTCACAAAGAGCTGGTAACGAGGCCATTCTGAAGTTTGCAAGAAGTGTACTCTTTGAAACATGACTCTCTATTTCTTTGATGATGATGCCAATTATCCTGCCATTACATTACAGCGTGATCAAAGTTCAAAATGCTTCATGATGACATATGAAGATATAAGGTTAATAAAGTGAACTAGCTAATTCACAGTTGATGATACAGCATCATTCAAAGTGGATTTGCTCGGTAAGGATCGGCTAATACGTTATTGGACAAACGAGAGCATGGTTTCCAGAAAAGAGTAAAAAGAACCATAAATAAAGAACTATAAGTAAAAACTACTAACAGTTCAGTTATAACTCTTCGGAAACCTGACAGTTCAATATAGTTCTTGGAGGCAAAATAAAAACAGCAAGGGCCAGACCGATAATCAATCTCATCTGAGTTTTCCAACAATCAAGGAGACACCGAAAAGAAAGAATGTCTAATACCTCAACTATGAACACGTCATATGCTTTCCTTCTAAAATCCATGTGAATGAAAAGCACTTTGAACTAAAGAAGATAAGATATAAAACAGTGAAACAAACCTCTTTTCATTTTCCCCAACGACCAAAATATTGAGGACTTGTTTGAAGGATTCATAGCACTCAATAACAGCACATTTCATGTACTCGTCTGCACATATACGTTTCCATAAGTCAGCATCCTTTGATCGGAAGTGTGCTGCCATATTCAGAGCTATAGGGATCTGCAAAAAGAAGTATAGTCAATTTACTGGGAAAAAAGTGATGGAAATTTGGAATGTTCTTTTAAGGCAATAAAGACCTTGCTTGCAAGCAAAAACGGTGGCCACTGGATCAACTTGATGCTAGGATCTGATGTATAAGGAACTAGTAACAAATCCATCTCCCTGGAGAAAGGAAATCACCAGTTTAGTATCAAAATATGAAAGGGAAAAGCATTAGGTTACATTATTTATCTTGCTTGTACAGCCTTTCCTGTCACTGATAAGATCTTCTTCACGGAAACTGGTTATCACTTCATTCCACAACTGGGCGAATTTGGCAGCTTCACTTCTCCTATTGGCTGAAACCTGGGCAAAAAATGTAATAAATGAAGTACATGATAAGAAATAAATAAAAAATAATAAAAAAGAAGTACATGATAAGAAAGAAAAGCACAAATTAAGTATATGCATTAAAACACAAGGACAAGAATCAAGATTCCAGAGAGGAGAAACAAACCTCAGCAAATCTCTTCGACAGAGAAAATCCTTTTTTCTGCGCCTTGTCCGAAGGCACCAGATATGCATTAAATGCACCTGGCAATGACTGAAACCGTGACCTCAGCATACCCAGAGTTCGTATCTGCAAGGAAGGAATGTAAAGTTGTGATATGGCACATTAATTAAAGCCCAGGTATCAATTTCGACATGGTTTTTAAGTAACATCTGATCCAAACACTTAAACAAAAAAGATCCATTTCCAGGTTCTCAGACCATCTGATCCCGGAATTGGAAAGATGGAAGCAGCGCACTTGAAACCAGTACATGCCTCATATGGCAAATAGTAGGGGCATGAAGGATAAGGGACCAAGTGTATGCTTTAGAGAATCAGTTGAGATATGTAGCACATAACAATTGATTTTTTATGTCTACTAGTTCAGTAACTATAGAGGCGGAGACTGAAATTATTGATGCCTGGAAATAAAACTAAAATTTTCCTTAGCTTCAGCTACGAAATATTGGTCTTGCAATCTTATCTCACAGCTCCGGAAACTTTATCCGTATCAAATCTTAAGAAAAGCAAAAAAATCTCACAAAAGAAAGGAACCAACAGACGAGATAAAGTGATTCCTAAATTTTAACAAAACAAGTTTGACTTTTAAGGAAATGAAGCAAGACCAGATTTAGCATGCATGAAAAATTTGATTTCTCCCAACCAATAATGTGAAAGAAAACACAATCAAATGAATTATTGACAATAACAAAGTGAAGAACCAGAGCAAAGGCGATAAGGAAATGACAAAAGAAAGGTTGGAGACACTTGCCTCTCCTAGGCGATCCACTGCTCCCTCAAAACCACCATATATGGTTGAGTATATAGAATACCAAATTTGTGTATCCATGAAATAGACCTACATCCAATTTCATTAGCATAATATAACTTGTCATCAAGCCCATATGAATTGCCTACAGACACAATCAGAAAATGCAATGACAAGAAACAAACCAAAAGATGGAATAAATACCAAGATTGTTGGTGCCCAGAGTGACAAAACCGCGCCGTAGTTGTGGCGAGCTGCATTTTCAGGATGAATGTTAATGTATTGCAGAAGTCGAGTTCGAATAATAGAGAGAAAGAATGTCACACCGTACCATAAGGGAAAATCTCATGCCAAGTATACTCTACATGTCGAATGTTCATGATGTCTTTTGTTGGTTTTACTAGAGGCTTTATCTGTAGAACAGAGATAAGAATTAAACAACAAATACTCCAAAACCTACCATCTGAAATCATCTTCCTTCACAATCTATTACTTGTCATGTCGATGAAGACAATACTAACCAAATAACAGTTAGAGCATGGGAAAAAAATGAGATTACCTGGATAAAGTAGCTGAACGTGAACTTGGAACCCAAAAGCAACAGCCAAAAAATAGTATACCTAAAAGTGAAAGATAATGTCAGAAATGATGCAATCTGAACAAGGGCATACAACAGAAAAGGACATAATTCATAATTTAAAGCCTGAACAAGCTCACTTTATAAGTGAAAATTGACTTTCATGCATTCCCCTTCCGACATAAATCCTTGGCTGCAGGTAAATGGGGGTAACAAAACAATCAAACACAAAATGAGTTTGTTCAGCAGCTCAAGACCAAAGATAGAAAAGAAGAAAGCAAAAGATCCCAATACGTGCCATAGAGACACTGCATTCAAAACCGAAAAATAAGAGGTGGGTGACATGAAGTGCTCTGGGAAACATAAGTTCAGAAGAACTAGACAATGGTTTCTGAGTTTCACATTGTTGTTTCATCAATGTTAAGAAGTAATCCTTCTATGTGCTACTAAATCTTGTTTAAACAAGGTATCCTGTCAAACAAACAATGAACGGAAACTAAAGTATCGCATGCCAGTGGGGAAGGGGTACAGAGCAAACCTAATGCAGTTCAAAAATAAAATGGGAAAACATAGAATAGATAGCTGGAACAGAACACAGAGCAAATATGGATACCTGTGACCACCACAACAGGAATCTGATAATGAGCCAGTCTGAGTTCTCAATCCATCTTCTAAGCATGGGGAAGATGAACAAAGAAGCCGCCAAGATATTTGGGACCATGTATACAACTACGGCAAACAAGTATACCGGAGGAATACTCTTCACTGTGCGGAGGAAATCCATTCCCCTTGTGAAACCACTCACTTGCTTGAGGTTTCCCGAATAACAGAGTGGAAGAATGACAGCCCATGCAAAACTAACAATGATCTTAAGAATGTTCCTCAGAACATCCGTAAATTTCCATCTATGATATCCAGGGAAGTTGAGAACAATGTCAAGAATACCTAAACAAGAGAAAGGAAATTGCAATGAGGTGCAAAGAGATGGCCATGGAAAGGAGCAATTAGAATTGAAAGGAAAACCAAGTGCATACACATGAAACCAGATATAACAATCTACCAAGAAGTTTAGTCTCCAAACCTATCCAGTTGTTTGAATCACCTAAATGTGAACTGTCAATATCTAAGAAGCCCACTCAATGTTTATATTGCACTAAGTAAATATTTGCAAATAAGCAATGAAATCTACAGTTGCTTTAGAATCAATTCAACAGAGACTCAGTAATTAGCAGACCAGGAACACATCATTGCTTATACAACAAGAGCTAACACATAAGAATGTTCTCCATCAACTCCAATAAATGCAGAGGCTGACAGAACCAGGTCAACCTAGAGTAACATAATAGTGTGAAAGCAAGCTGAAGACAATCGAAAAGAAGAGTTTCATGTGTATATAATGCATATATCTATCCTCGAGTAGACGTTAACTGCAAACTAGCTAGTACTTTGTATCTTTCATTTATCTCTACAAGTGGCTTGTCAGGCTGATAGTCTAATTGTGTAACTACAGCAATTATTTCGACTATCAACTTCCCTTGACATTATACCTTAAAAGTGTGTATATAAAGGGGTGGTTTTCTAAGATATAGACCTGAATAAAGACAAACATCCAACCCACTCCAAGGTCAAAACCTTGAGGCCAAAACTTGCCACCAAACGAAACACACCTTTGAAGCACCAGTTACCAGACAAATGTTCAAAAAATAAGGGGTCGGATATATCAAAGACAAACTTCGCATTCTATTCAATGTGACAAGGGAATTTTTCATGTCATGGCATTTAGATAGTCAAGAATAAGTACTCAAGTAAGTGAATGAGCTATGAAAATTGAACTATGTTTCAGGAACAAGTGTAGCTCATGTTAAATACATACTCTGAAGGAACCGAATAAAGGCTGCTGTGATGAGAATACTCGATAGGTAATACAAAACATGAAAATTGAACTATGTTTCAGGAACAAGTGTAGCTCATGTTAAATACATACTCTGAAGGAACCGAAGAAAGGCCGCTGTGATGAAAATACTCGATAGGTAATACAGAACATCCCTTCTGAGTATATTTTGTATTGCTACTCCACTCCAGGCATAGATGATCATCAACTGCAACAATTTGTTTGTCAACTCTTTAGAATACTTAGAAAGGTACAGAAGCCCGAAACTAATGATTACAGAACCAACTTTGCCACACAAAACTGAAATACCTGAAAGGCTAGCACATAAAACGTCCACAATCTGTCAAAGCTTCGAAATATGTGCCAAAAGGTTCGAGTTTCAACAAAATATGATTTTCCCGTGCTTCCAGAATTTCCTGGAGGCGCCTTCTTTCCCTGCCAGACAATTTTGTTAAGCAAGATACAGGATAAATTAGATATTGCAGTGAGATACAAACTATTAGTATAACCTTAGCTTCATCGCGTGTTGATTTAAAGAATGCACCATCATCACGCATAGGCCAACCAAGAGAGAAGCAATCAGATGACCTGAAACGAAAAAAAGGAAAAACTTATCATCTAAGCAAAAGGAAAGAATTCAAAGGACGAAATTCAGATCATTAGTTTCATTGTAGCAAACTAACCAGAAATATTCATTAAGATCATCATAGTTGCACCATGCTGTACTAGAAGCTGTACCATTTTGACTCTTACTTGCTTCCTGGAATAAGCGAGTACAAGTCTTCATTCTCTGAACAAAATCCCCTGAAATCTGAAAAGACTATGGCTAATTTTTTTAACTCATACCTTTGCTATTACTCGGTAGATTGGTGTTATAACTTTTCTAAGAAATGCCTCATCATCTCCGCCATAAGAAGGCTTGATATTTTCTCCAGTTACAATGCTCACATTTCCAGCTAATAAGCCATGGAGTTCATAGGCCATCTGAAGATTTTGATGACAATATTGTTACTGAAATCATAACCGAACAAAACATAATTTTTCCACTCTGAAAAAAGGAATGAGAAAACGCACCAACATATGACTACTTACATTGTGAAAGATGTAGCAAAGACACTCTGGCATGAACCGGACGTTGGCTGCTTCACCCCAGATAAGAAGGTACAACCCCATGTAAAGTATTTTTCTTTGCTGGATTTCCGGCTGGCTTTGAGGAAGTCTGTATCAAATGAAATTGAAACTTACTTTGCAACTTCTCTCGAATGCTTAAGTTTTCCTATCGAGGAACAAATCACAAGGAAAAATAAGCCAGGTAGTTACTAGCACAGAATGCTTACCGTAAACTGTGTTTTTTTCCTAAAAATTTGCACCAATTTTTGTAGTTCTTAAAAATCTTATTCATTACTGCATCTACAGCTCTTTCATCAAGCTGCATAAAGAAATAAGATTCCCATAAACCGTCATAAGAAAAATTCAAGAATTTATTCTAATTCAATGATCCACTTGTTAGCTTGATCAATATTTCAGAATTCATTTGGATTTGTAGATTAGGCAAGCTGTGCATATAATTTTAATCACATCAGTAACAAACTACTCTTTTTCATAGTCATCAGCATGCACTTATATTCAGATGTTCAAGTAATAAACTAGGAGTTTAGGTGACTTGAACATAGATGCAGTAATGATCTACACTTCAGAATTATCTAGCTTAACCATATCATCCTACATATAAGAAGAGGAGGATAACTAAACAACAACTGTCAGCGCATGCCTTATTAAGAGGTTCAGGCTTGGGGTGGAGCCTTATATGGTTGTTGGCAAGTAGCAATATCAGATGCTCCCTCTGGTTCCGAACACTGTCTCTCTGTGTTAAAAGAAAAAACAAGCACATTACAAATGGTCTCCAACCTCGTAATAGTTACTGCTAGTATCATTGGTTCCAAGTCAAAGGCGTACCTGGAAGCCAAACATGGCCCTTAACCAATCAAGAAGGTCCAGATCCCCTGCTTTCTGCCTGTGCTGTTCAAAAGCTGATGGCCATGACAATCCTCGGGTATTCCATAGCGCTGCAACTGCAGCCTTGACCTGAGGATATAGCAATGATCGGGAGAGGAAAACGGTATCACCAACAGAACAAACTAGCATGGAAATGAGAGATCAATTTAGGACCGCAGTAGAGAGTCTGCCAAACATAAACAAGTCGTACCTCCTCGAGTTGCATAATTGACTGGGAAGCCCCGGCAGAATCCAGTGGAAGAATATTGTATGGTGCATAGATTTCCTTCTTTTCTTGGATATCTCTAGCCGCCGCAATAATCTACACCAGTAAAACAATTGCAACAATCTCACTTAGTATCCTCCCACGAGCAATCATAAATTAAAAAATACAACAATGATAAATTAAGTCCATGAAGTTGCTTGGCAACAGCCTAGGAAGGGACTAACCTCAGGAGCAACCTCTTCAACCTTCTCAGTCTTATTAACGGCGCAAAGTACTTCAAAAAGAACTCCTGCTGTCTGATAGGCCTTGCCAAGTTGAGCTCTGAATGGATTCGCATAAAGTGCATACTTTGAAAACCCATCAAAGTGGATACCCTTATGCAAATCAAGACCGACAGAAAAGCCAAAATTACCTGTCTGCTTGCTCGCCCTGCTCAAGTGCTTCAACATATTGTTTATAATACTGGTAATAGAAGCTCTGGATTTCCCGCGCATCCGTTTTTTTAACCCGGGAGGCGATACTGGATGCGTTTTCCTGAGTTAAATCGACATGACAAAGAAGGGAAATTTAGTCTTTGAAGGATTGAGTGTTCAATGGACAAGGGTAAATCAATGCATGCCACACGTATTCCTACGACCAACTATAGGACATGCCAAACCTCGAACTGATTACAGTGGCGGCTTGCATCACCTCGTCCTAGAAACCAAAGCTGCTTCCACCTCTTCGGTACATTCTGTGACTTTGTTCCTTTCTACGAACTAAATTCCCAGTTTCACCTCGGAATTTTCTGAGAGAAGATTGCATTGTTTCCATATTCCTTCCTTGGGTGAGCAATCCACTAAAACCCTTTATTGTTTACCACAACTGTAACGATTTAAGATCATAAAAAAATGCTGTTTCTGGATTTTGGAACCAAAAGGAACCAGAACAGTTGCGACTTGCGAGGGAACTAGAACGGGCAGTATGACTGTATGAGTCACTAGTCAAGCAGCGGAAAGTCTAAACTCAACCGAAGTTTCATCTAAAGCCCAAAAGCTTGGAAGCCCAAATTTGAAGCCCAAAACTTCTTCTTTCAGCTCCAATGACTGAGACCCGCTTTTACGTACTTAACCAGTAACCTGGCTACGTAAACCTTAATCTCGTACCAATTCATCTTGGCTATAATCGACATTGCTATTATCTATCTTAACTAAAGGGGGAGATAGCATACTGCATATAGTCATCTAATCTCCAATATGAAAAAGGAGAGGCCCCTTCTCAAAGGTATACAGTGGTGAGAAGTGTATCAGTTACCCTTTCGACTCTTTGCAGTAAGGCTGTTTTGAACTGCCTTACACCACGTCCACTGGAACTGGGATCCAGCCGATGAGCCTTCTCAAATGCGTAAAACCGACCTGCGGTACATGTAACATAATCACAAGAAACGAAATTAAAATACATGGCTAACAATTAGAACTCCATATCCATAAAATCCAGAAGAATTGGCGTTGGTCAAGCAGTTAAGGTGAACGATTGCAACTGTGCCATTAGTGTACTTACAGAGATAGGCAACGCGAGGACGCTCATTTTGGATCTCATTGGCTACACGAAGAATCGGCTTGATAGACTCCAAGGAGGAAGGGACGACTGAGTTGTCGAAGACCTCGGTGGAGAATGTTGTCATGGCAGCGCTTCGCGACGGCCGCCTGACCAAGTGTGGATGGCTCCCCTCCGGATTCGTCATCGATTAATCCCGGTGAAAACCTTTCTAATCTGTCCTCTGCGTGTGGGCTGGCTACCGCTTCTGTTACGTCGGCGGCGTTTATTTACCACTGCCGATCAGATTCCATCTCTTTAATCCTTGTGTATCTATTCAACTACCTACCTGTTATTTTGTCACCACAGCACAACCGGGGAAAATTACAGCAAACATTAGTCTCCACAGCCCAGATTTTCCCGGCAACCAAACAGGCAACACTAAATTTCCAACGAAACGCATCTGGTAAAAACTACAATAGCTCAAACGTAAATCAACTTCAGCATTCCTATTCTCGTTCCTTCAAAACATCTCCCGCAGCGACCAAAACAAACAAACAAATCGCAATGAGACGAGCTGAAATTCGAACCGAATTCCTCAAATCAAAGGCCAGATTCCGTAGCACATCGACGGCAGCACATAACAGGAGAAAATTAAGGAAGTTGGAGGGGAAAAAATGGACAGAAACATCAATCATCAGCCTGAAGCGGGGAAAATCAACCTCCATCGCTCCTGGATTTTCTCAGAAACCAAGCAGAAAACACTAATTCCGCTAAGAAACGTAAACGGATTAACGAGTAAAATAGCTCCGTAGTCGATTATAGCTTTTCGCATTCTCATTCCACTTCATTCCAGAATCACCCCTCGGAAACGAAACAAACAAGAATAAAGGCAACGTAGACGGACGGAACCGAAAATCTCAAGAAAAGGAAAGATCACCTCCTCCAGCCGAAGACAGAATCCGGAGCACAACGACGGCAGTCGCCGACGGAGCTCAATCAACCACCTAGTTTCCGCACAGAAAACGAAATCCGAAAGCGAAATTAAAACCTAGATTCCTCCTGAAAACAAGGAATTAGACATCAGAAACCCATCGATCCAGCTACAGAAGGAACAGAGAGAGAGAGAGAGAGAGCTCAGCTAGATCAACTTACGATTAGATAGACGAGAAGAGAGAAATGTGTGTGAGAGAGAACGTGTAGCTGTTTGGCTCTCTTGGATTAGGGTTTTTCCGTAGACGGAGATAGACGAAAAAGAGAAGAGAAGAGAAGAGAAGAAGAAAAGAAAAGAGTTGCAGAAGGGGCGGTGTGTGTGTGTGGGAATGACACACTGGTTTTTTTTTTTTTTTTTCTGGTAAAAGAGTAGAAGCGCGGGAGGGGAGAAACGCTGAAGAGAAATGAGGAGACACGTGGCGTCGGCGGAGCGGATGGGGACCAAATTTGGGGGGAGAAAGGGGCCCGAATGTCGCGGGCCTGGGAGGCGTCTTTGGAGGCCCGCTCGTTTCGCGCTCTGTTTTAATCTTTGTTTTTTCTTTTTTGTTTTAACGGAAATATTATTTTTCAAAGCTGATATAATGATTTTTGCTGATTTTCGGAAAATTTTGAAAAAATCAAAATATGATGGGAAAAAAGAACGGGAAATACTTGGAATAGTTTTTATTTTTTTAAAATTTGTGAGAAAATTCAGGATTTGGAAATTATGGAGCCAGTCAGATTAGTTGAAAGAAAAATAAGCCAAATTTTTTGTACAATTCACTTAATAAGAAAAACAAAAGCGTGGATAATTTGATGGCATAGTATTTTTAGTGTCGTGTTATATGTTAGCATTTTTTAAAAAAAACATGTATATCAAAAATCAAAAGTGGAATTAAAATATTAACATAATAAAATTTAATTTCTTAATACATTTGTTCTCCTTATTGGTCAGTTACTCAGTTAGATTCAATGGTCCTCCTTCGGTCTAACCTAATTATTCTGCTAACTTGAAGATTCGTTAGTATATACTAACTAATATCCAAAATGTATGAACTAATATCCACGCCTGTTGAGTATCTAGATAGCACAAACTAATATTCAAAACATCACAAACTAGTATCCAGATAGCAGATACCAACTAATATCCACAATCAACCAACTACTATTCAATATGGATACTTTTATATGTTATCTGGATACTCTTATGTGTTATCTGGATACTAATTATGTTCGGTATGGATACTATTTAGTGTTGTCTAGATATTAGTTTGTGAATTTTGGATAATAGTTGATTCATGATGGATATCAGTTAGCAAACTTTGAATACTAGTCTGTGCTCTCTAGATACTTTAGTAATTGGATACTAGTTCATGTATTTTGGATATTAGTTAGTATCTGCTAACGAATCTTCCGGTTTTCCCCCTTTGGTCTCCCAATTTTCTTCATTTTAACCAACAAAATTAATGATCAGTTGGTGTTGATTGTTGGATGATGTAAGCGCTAGTTGTGATTAATAAAGGTTGAAGTAGATTTCCATTAAAAAAACTAATGAGATTCAACTTCTCAAACATTTCTTAGGAAGTCTTTGTTTGAAGAAAAAAAGTTGATTTTATTCAAATATGTTATCCTCAAGTGTAGATGTGGTAACACGTAACAGGTATATCTACTATAGGAAGAAGAAAAAAAGTATTAGCCTCTATAGAAAATTGTTTTGTGGTTATAAAAAAACCAAGATTTTACTTTGTATCATAATATAATGAATAGGTCAAGGTATACTTAAATGATAAGCGTTTGAAATCAATTAATTTTATAGTTGGAGTAATTGATAATGCTCTTCGTCGTTAGTATGCATGCTCACTGTACTCAAATTACATCCCGTCAAGATCAAACTTACTCTTTGTCCCCTGCTTCTTTCTCCGAAAAACAGAGAGCTTCTTCCTTCGCTGTCCATCAGCTATGGCAGGTCCAATTGAATTCACGGATGAAGTCTTAGGTGCTGGAGTGAACAGGGCACGTTTGAGCTTGGTGGGCAGACTCCTTTGCTCGTCACATCCTTCCAGAATCAGGGTGCAACATGCTGCAAATAACATATGGGCTAAGCGTGCTGCAGTCACAGTCCTGGATGCTGGATATGGCCTATTTCAATTGGTCTTTGCTAACGAAGAGGACTATCAGGATGCTTTGAGCAAAGCCCCATGGTTCATCCAGTCAAAGATCCTCACTCTAAAGAAGTGGGAGAAACCAACTCCCCAGCTGTTCCTTGACCTTGCTCGGGTTCCTTACCCAGTTCAGCTTTGGGATCTGCCGGAAGAATACCGAACGGTGGCTTTGGGAAGGCTGTTAGCTTCAAGGCTTGGACCAGTGGAGGAAGCGGCAATGTACGCAGTATGGGACAACCCAGGCTGTGTGTTCAAGGCCAAAGTCCTTATTGATGTTTCTGCCCCATTGGAACATCGGTTGGAAGCTCGTAAAAGGGCAAATGATGGATCGGTCGGGCCAACGTTTTGGGTGTCATTAAGATATGAAAATATTAAGTCCGTGTGTTTCCGCTGCAGGCGCATTGGACACAATCAACGCAATTGTACTTTTGATTTGATCCCAGGTGGTGATGGATTCGGACCTGAGGTGTTGGGTGAAAGAACGGGACCAAAGCTGAATGAGAACTCTTATGCAGCTTTTCGAAACGGTGGCCGACCACGCGGAAACGTGTGGCGTAAGGGTGGACGGCCAGGCCCTCGACCGGTGGTGCAACCGCGGCTTCAATTAGAAGCTCCTCCGCCTGCAGCCAATTCGTCAGAGGCAGCTGGGCAATCATTGAGCAGAGTTGGGACAAACCAGCGCAATCTTCGTGCTAACAACATCGGCGGCGGATCCAGGCCAAAGCAGATGGGGAAAATAAGAAGTGGGCCTCGACTCTTGGAGAAGGGTGATGCTGGGCCAGCTACTGTTGCAGCTAGGGAGGCAGCTGAGCGGGGCCACAAACCAAATAATGGGTTGTCGCATACTCAAGGGCCTCTCTGCAGGAGTCGAGCAAATGAAAGCATGGTGGTGAGCTTGAACCAGTGTGGGGACCTAGCACGGGCTCAGCCCAACGACGGCGGGAATGGCCTTCTTTTGGCGCTTCCATGTGCTGTGGCAACTCCCTTGCAAATCCAGGAGCCTTCAGCTTCGTATGGTTTAGGTAATTTGTTTTGTGATGAAGATCCGGGCTTTTTGTATGAAGAAATGGGAGATTCTCACTTTTTTTTGCAAGGTGGCTCGGACACGCTTAACAAAGAACTGCAACTAGATTCAGATTCCGCGGTCTCCTGCTCACCAATTGGGGTGGTGACTAATGGACAATCAAGAGGAAAAGCAATCTTGGTCGAATCCTCGGGGTCACCAAAGGTTTATGTCAGGAGGAATGCTGGAATTTGTATTCAAGAACCTGAGGATGGGGTGGTTGAATCTGGTCTCAAGCGCCCACGCATTGAAGTGCCAAAGAACAAAGGAATAATGGTGGAGGTAGCCAGCCCCAAGTGGCCCCAAGTTGATAAATGAAGGTCTTCGCGTGGAATTGTCAAGGTGTGGGGAGTACCTTGACATTCCAAACGCTTAAAGGTCTCCGCAATTTGTCTAAGTCCTTTCTTTTTCTTTGTGAAACAATGAATCCTAGTGACAAAGTGTCATCTTTTATTTCCTCTTTAGGTTTCTCTAGTTGCTATCCTGTTGACCCTACCAGTATGTCGGGGGGTTTACTCTTTGCTTGGCCTAGTTGGGCCTCTGTGTCAGTCATTGGGTCTTCCCCTTTTTTTATTGCTATTGCGGTCATCAATAATAAGTCATTTTCCTACGGTGAGTGTCAACATTTTGTGCTTATTGGAGTTTACCTCTCCTATGACACCTCTCGTCGCCAATCTCAATTAATGGATTTACTTGGATTTTGTTCTCGCCTTTCGGATCCTTTTGTGATTATTGGAGATGTGAATTGCTCACTTTTCCCATCTGAAAAATTGGGTGGTGCCCCATGGAGAAGGGACAAAGCGCGTCCTCTTGAGGACTTCTTGAACCGATTAGGAATGTTTGAGCCCCCGTACCAAGGACCAAAATTTACCTGGACAAATCGAGGTAGGAATGGAATCCTAATCGAGCAGAAAATTGATAGAGCCTTTGCCTCAAATTCATGGATGGAAGTATGGCCGAACACCTGTCTTCACCATCTTTCGGATAGAGGATCAGACCATAGACTGCTTTGCTTGTTGACTCAACCGGAATCCCCGAGAGCAAAGAGATTATTTCGATTCGATGTTCGTTGGACTTTGAATCCAGAAGCTGGCCTCCTAATCAATTTCATTTGGGGGATACATGTAAATGGTTCATACCAATACTGTCTCTTCTCCAAACTCCTTCGTACTAGGCATGGCCTTGTTGATTGGTGTAAAGGGGGTACGTCGAATGCAGCTAGAAATATAAAAGATCTAAGCCAGGCTTTAGAACTGGCAAGGAATGCCTTTGTTGTGGACTGGGGTTTAATTCGAGATTTGGAGATTCGCCTAGCAATCCAATATGATCAAGAGGAAATGTTCTGGAGGCAAAAATCCAGGGCTGAATGGCTTCAAGAAGGGGATAGGAATACGCCATATTTCCATCTTATTTCATCAGTTAGGCGTCAAAAAAACTTCATTGGCGGTTTAGAGGATGATACGGGAAGATGGTGCACGTTAGAGATGGAAAAAAGTGGCATTGCGGTGAAGTACTTTAAGGAAATCTTCCTTACCCACAGTTTGGGGGAAATTAGCCTGGCTAACCTTCCTTTCTCATCGACCGTTAGTATAGAACAAAATATGGCGTTAACCTCACCAGTGACGCCCGAGGAGATCAGGAAAGTGGTCTTTAGCATGGGTAAAACCCAGGCTCCCGGACCGGATGGGTTTACAGCCGGTTTTTTTCAGAAGTATTGGAGTATAGTTGGGCAGGATGTAACCCAAGTGGTGTTAGCCTTTTTCCACTCTGGGCGTCTACTGAGAAGTTTCAATCGTACGTGGGTATCTCTCGCTCCAAAAGTTGCAGAGGTTCGTACCATGAAAAATCTGCGGCCTATAAGCCTGTGTCAGGTCTTCTACAAGATCATCTCTAAGATTCTGGCTAACAGACTTAGTCTAGTGTTACCAACCATTATTTCCAAATCCCAGAATGGATTTATTAAAGGGCGTCAGATTACTGATAATATACTCGTTAGTCATGAAATAACGCATCATCTCAAAACTATGTATTCGGGGAAAAAGTCGTGGATGGCCCTGAAACTAGACATGGAAAAGGCATATGACCGCGTTGAGTGGCATTTTCTGCTAGAGATGATGAAGGAGTTGGGTTTCCATCCCCAGTTTGTCTCTTGGGTAAGAGAATGTATTACAACAGTATCCTATTCAGTAATTGTTAATGGAAATCCTTCTGAGTATTTTTGGCCGACTAGAGGTCTCTGCCAAGGAGATCCTCTTTCTCCACTACTTTTTGCCATTTGTTCGGAAGGGTTTTCGGCCTTAATTAGCCAGGCGGTGTCTATGAGATTTTTGGAAGGAGTACGCATTCGTCAATCATGCCCAATGGTTTCCCATCTTTTCTTTGCGGATGACTCCTTTTTATTCCTTGAAGCTTCCTCCGCCTCATGCACTAGATTGCTATCCCTACTACAAGTATATGAAGGGCTGAGTGGACAAAGGGTTAACCTAGCCAAGTCTGCAGTTCTGTTTAGCCGGAATACACTTCCAGATGCGGCATTGTCAATGGGTACCCAACTAGGTGTGGGTGCTATTGGAGAACAAGATGCGTATCTCGGTCTGCCTTCCTTACTACCCAGGTCTAAAAGGGATGCTTTTATGTCCATAGAGGAGAAGTTTCGCAAGAAGCTTGCTGGTTGGAAGCAGAGAGTGATTTCAAGAGCAGGCAAAGATACTTTGATAAGAATCTCTGCAACTAACATACCTGTTCACGGTATGTCTTGCTTTAAATTTCCTAAGGAAACCTGTAGACGATTAAATAGTGAGGTGGCAAGATTCTGGTGGGGCTCCTCTAGCAACTCTGACCACCCTATACATTGGGTTTCTTGGAAGGGAATTTCCCAAAGCAAGTTCCAAGGAGGATTGGGTTTCAGGGATTTTGAGGCGTTTAACCAGGCCCTCCTAGCAAAGCAATGTTGGCGCATTTGGGCAGATCCAGATTCTCTGCTTAGTCAAATCTATAAAGGGCGGTACTTTAACGCTAGTACAATCTTAGAGGCTCGGATAGGATCAAATCCCTCGTGGGGTTGGCGAAGCATACTTTACGGAAGGGATCTACTCCTCCAAGGAATGCGCTGGCAAGTTGGGAATGGTCATAATATTGATGCTTTTTATGACCGATGGATCCCATCTTCTAAACCTGAGAGTCCGGTGATTAAGTTGGCCAATATTAACTCATCTCTAAGAGTCTCCTTTTTCATTGAGGAAAGTACAAGGGAATGGCACATTTCGAGGTTACAAGATTATTTTGAGCCCTGCTCGGTGGATATAATTTGCAAAATGGCTCTTCCTCGGACATCGCAGCCAGACACTAGAGTATGGCATTTTACCAAAAATGGCAAGTACTCAGTAAAGACAGGGTATCACCTAGCTCTTGATGGCATTCTAGCTCCCAATAGAAAAGCCCTGGCTCTGATTATTGATCCTCCTTTGTGGAAACTGACATGGGGCATTCAGACACCTCCTAAACTAAGGTTTTTCATTTGGCAGTGCCTAAGAGTAGTCCTACCAACGTCAGTAGCGCTCCGTTCTCGTGGGATTAATTGTCTAAGGCGATGTCCTGTTTGCTGGAGGAGCCGAGAGAGTATAGAACATTTGTTTTTTCATTGCCCCCTTGCCATTATGTTATGGTACTTTGTGGGATTAAGTGACATACTGCTTTCGGCCCCAACGATGAACTTTAGTGTATGGTGGCGTCAAGTTATGCTTTCAGAGCAGTCCCAAACCCATATTCTCCAGATCGTGTGTCTCTTGTGGAGAATATGGAAATCAAGAAATAAAGTGGTATTTGAAAATACCCAGCCTCATGTCCGTTCGCTTGCCCGCCAATTCTCCTTTCAAGTCCGTGAAGTGCTCTCTTCCTGTCTTCCTGCCCCGCCTGCTCAGCCTCGTGTGACTGCCTCTCCATGCCAGCCCTGGGAATGCCCTCCTGAAGATGTTCTGAAGATCAACTTTGATGCTGCTGTTCATGCCTCTGGTTGCTCGTCTGGCCTTGTGGTTCGTGGCTCGGACGGTCATGTTCTGCTTGCCTCAGGTTTCCAGCATCCAGGGATTTCAGACCCGTACCTTGCAGAGCTCCTTGCAGCAAGGGATGCGATCTCTCTTGCAGCGTCTAGAAATCTGCCTCGTGTCATCATTGAGGGAGATGCGGCTGTGGTCATCCGTCAGCTTAGCCTTGGTGCAGTGGAGGATTCCGTGGGTGGCCCCATTCTTAGAGATTGTAGGAGTTTCCTTGGATCTTCGTCTCTTTGTATAGAATTTAGGGCGGTTCCGCGGATTGCCAACTGGGCTGCCCATAGAGTGGCGCGTAAAGCCCTGTTGCTGTCTCGGCTAGAGTTAGCTTCTTTTGACTTTGTAGGTTGGTTTGTTAGCGGGGTGGGGAGGGCGTTTGGGTAGTGTTTGTTCTAACTTTCTTTCTGATATTACTCGGGCAAAAAAAAAAAAAATCCTTAGGGCCAAAGAGTTGAAAGGTTATCCAGAGCTTTCAATAAAAGTAATGTGGTTAGAACCAACTATTAGACTCTCAGAGATGCACGTCATTTTGAATACAATAGTAAATCCTTATCTTTAGTCGTGACTACTGATTAACAAAGGATTCTAACTATGTCGTCACAAATCGTCAAAAGAATTTTAAGCACCACCCTTGTAACACGCCATGGGCAATGGAATACTAGTCATTGTGGAACCTCAGCTGATGAGCACCAGGCGGTATAGGGAGTCATGGGTAGGCTAATCTTCAAGGTAAGCATGGAACCATAGTTCAGGGACATCAAACACTATTACTCCTTTTGTAAACCGGAAAGATACATTTCCCAAGTAAGCAAATTATACATGTGAAAATAACTATATCTCCCTCTTGTATTAGGTGGCCAATGCCATGTTACATAGTAGTGACTTACAAAAAAACACTCAATTCTACTTCAGATATATACAACAAGCAACAAGCTAGGAAAAAACTTAGGTTGGGGCCTAGTGAACTAGGCTAGCTTTGCTAACTGTTGCCTTACACCCTTCAGGAAGAAAACCCGATTGCAACGGATTTTAGTACAAAAAATATAGGAGTTCCAAGAACCTATAGGTAATAAGGGCGCACTCTAACCTTCAAATTACAAAATTAGTAGGGAAGGAGCTCCATATAAGTCAGGTCATCATACCATAATCTAGCGTTTCGAATTCCTTTGGCCGCCACAGTGTCTTCTGGGCGGAAAGCAACCCTTCGTTGTCCTTGTTGTAAGTCATTCGGATCTCCCACTGCATCGACCTTAGGATGCTCTCTAGCTCGCTCACGACCTCAGCAGTGTCTCGCACGATTAACTTTCCTTCCGGTCTCAGGATTCGGTCAACTTCCACCACTAGAGGAACTATCTTGCACCTGGGGAAAAAGGTCGGTATATTATGAAATTTTCATGGAGCTAGATGATGTGTTGCAAAGGATCAAATTGAATGAAATAAACATGACGCTCTCGTTAAGGTAAGCAAAATGAAAGAGGGTAAAAATAAATCATACTTCTGCTTGATCATGGAGAAGAGATGATCAGCATGCATAAGATCATATGATCTAGGGTATGTGCTGAACGACTGGCACCAATCATGGTAAATTCCAAAGAGTCCACGTTCATAGATAGCAGGAAGAACATCTGGAGAGTCAATTGGGACGACATTCATCACCCACACATTCATATCCTTCAAAGCAGCTGCAAACCTACAAAACGTGACAAAGGGAGAAGTAAATTTAGTACAATCGCCATATGTCTTCTATTACCTAAATGGTCAACCTACTTTCAGGTATGTGACAAAATGGTAAAAAAAACTCAAAATATTAACTAGATGATAACTAAACTTAAGTCATGTATTAAACAAAATGTGGCTCTACCTATTCTTAATCTGCCATTAGATCGGTTGAGTCAAATTTTCCAAATCGACCATCATATGTCAAAATAAACTAAACTAAAAAGAATAGAAAAGCGAATGCTTTTGTACAATTCACTTAGTTTAGTTAGCCTTTAGTTGAACTTTGTGATCTTAGTGGCCATCCAACTTGAAAGAAGTATACAGAAATTTTGATTGAAGCAAGGATGAGAATAACTATGTTTTGCTGCAAAAATATGACAATTTAAATTACCCGCCGTATATAGCTCTCATGTCCATAACATTCCTAACGGTTGCCCAGTTTATGCCCATTCCATTGATATATGATTTGGAGACGACTCGCTTCCAGTGCTCATAATCAGCAACAAAGTCTTCTGGTTGTGGTTTGCCGTAAACTCCCATTTCAGAACCCAACATCCAATATGGGGTTTTGTCCAACCTAGCTGGCCACTGCTCAGGCCATCGTGACCCACGTTGTAGGGAATCTATTGGTACCTTATGCATGCATGTTTGTAAAGGCACATTCCTATGAATAAGAACCAAAATCAAGTGTCAGTACTAGAGTGATAAGCTTCAGTTTTCAATTGTAAATAAAGAATTAATTACCAAGCCGCATTAGCATCATCCGATGCCTCACACATTGGAGGGTCTTGCACTGATCTCTTTTCATAACATGAGTTGTTCATTGGCTTTTTGTAAATAGCTAGGCCGACTCCATTGAGTCTATCCCTAACTCTAGTCACAAGCTCCCAACACATTGTCTCCAATAGTTTGCTCATAGCTGCAGAATGAAATGCTTGAGAAATCAATTGTTCTGAAAGAAAATCTACTGACTTCTTGTTTGTGAATCATTTACCTTTCCAGATTTCTTTGTCTTCGGGTTTCTTTTGATATACAGGAGTAGCAGACCACACAAAGTACCCGCCTGGCCTCAATAACCGATTCAACTCCAGAAGAAGTTTACCACCTGCACACCATTATAAAAAAAATACTTAAGATAAGAGTGATATAAGTTTACCTGTTGTGGTTAGGTACTACTTAAGGGGATTCGAATCTTGGACCTCCAGGTTCAAAGCTAATGATCTTACACACCATTATCAGTTGCAACGAGCAAAAGTGAGGTTAGTTGCCGCAATTGAACCATTCTAAGTGAACATAATGGAAGCCTAAAGGGAAAATAATAAAAAAAAACAAGTAATCTCATAATTCCACTTTGCATTTGTTGATTATGCAGACAAATCAACGAATTGAAGACAATGGAAAAGGATCATTAACCTTCAATATGCCACGGCACCCTACAACGTGCACAGTGTACAACATCAAATACTTTGCCTGGGAAGGGAAGTCTGAGTGTGCCCATGACAGCAGATATAGCAGGGATTCCTCTTTCGAGAGCAAATTGTACTTGAGCTTCATGCTCATCTTTAGGGGCCAACGACATTGCCAAGACATCTCTGTCGAAGAGAAACCCTCCAAAACTGGCAACACCACATCCAACATCCAAGATTACACGACTGTGTTTTCCCCATGCAATGTCAGGTACATTCTGAAAGAGAAATAAATAAAAAAGAGCTTCAACCTTCAATGCAACCTACAACCTCATTTCCCCAAACTAATAAATGGGTCATTTTGTTGGTTGATTTGACCTTCAAATCTATTTTTTTCATTAATTTGGTTGAAATGACTTGTTCATATGGGATTTTAATGATGATGTTTTGTGATATAGAGAGATTTAGAAATACGGAGAGGGTTGATTTCCAATAGCCTTGGATATTTGATATATATCTCTTAATTTAGAGACAAGTTTGTCCCTGCCAATTCATAAAATGACCCCATTGCCCTCTAATACAAAAATACCCCAAATATGAGATAATCAACAGATATGACAAAGAAATAAACTAAACCGCTACTAAGAGAATGCACCAATGTAAAAAATATGATCTACAAAATCCACCATTTACTATTTATGTTCAAATGCTACATATGCTTAACAATCCACCCAATTCAAAAATTCGTCAAAGAATATATAGAAGAAAACTTTAGTTCAAGAGAGACAAGAAATGGTATGTTATAACCTCTATGTCTTCTTCCCCTCTATTACTGGCATGAATTTTTGATATTTGTTAATAACATGTTGTGAATTAGCTAAAAGAATAACTATGCTCAGACAAACAAAGTTTACCCACTACAGATAGACAACCTCTAGTATTCTACTTATAGCCATGGTTTAAAAAGGCACGCTTAACCTTACGCTTAGGCATGCCTAGGCGCAAGGCAGTGGCAAAACGCCTCCCCTAGGGGTTTCGCGCCTAATTAGATAATAGAACACGTCAATGGAGTAAGGCAACATATAAATCTCTCCCAACCATTGCTAGATGGAGCTAGGAAGTCAATATTAAATGAGAAAAATAACATCAACTATGAAATTAATTTTCTAAATCAAAATTTTCAATAGCACAAGAACTCTGTGGGCTATTTAGCTATGATTATTTGAATTCGTGAGCTATGTTCTTGTCATTAAGTGTTGAGTAAGTTATTAATCATTTTAACTGAAGTGAGAAAGTGTTGTAGATTATTATTTCATTCCTCATGCAGTGTGAATTGCTATGTTTCTTACAACGCCTAGACACGCTTAGTCTACGCCTAGATGAGCTAGGAGCAAGGCAAAGGCTCCACGCCCGCCTTACGCCTAGCGCCTTTTTGAATCTTGCTTATAACATTGATATTTATCGACGATAAATCCAATGTGGCCTAGAGCCTAACTTTCTTTTGCTTGAATATTCATGTTTGATGTTAAAACATAGATGACTAAAATGGCCAATCATAGCATATATAATATATTTGAAAAAAAAAACATTATTCCTCATGAGAGGAGATCTCAACAACTGAAGGTAACAAAGGAGACGAAGAAGGCAACGTATGCCCATACACAAAATAAGCTCAACAATTAATGCAATATGGATAATAATAAGATCAACTAACTGCAAAATACAAGCAAGTCTTAACCTCATTTATAAAGTCGATGTAGTGTAGAGCGCCATGTTTGAACTGAGTTCCGCCACCAGGGAAAACAAGGTATCGACCAACAACTTTCACCCAGTTTTGATGCCCCTTGTACTCAACAAGTTCAGTGTGAGGTACGTTAGAGTACCAAATCTGTAGAATGTAGCAACTTTTTGTCAGTTACATCAGAAAGAGCTTTGTCGGCTGACACAATCACAAAAAAAAAGTAGCTTGCCTTTTTCCTACTATTTGGCCACTTAATTGGACGTCTATAACCTTCTGGAAGTGGAACTAGACAGGTTGGAGGTTCTTCAGGACAATGGCGTTCTCTATGTTCATAATGCATAGTAGATCTAAGATTCTTAATAGCTCTCCAGTTATCTAGACAAGGAATGAAGTCCGGCCCAGCAGTGCTATTGCACGATTTCCAATTGTATACCACTAACTCTTTAGCAGATTCTTGAGTATCCTTCTCATTCTTTGATTCCACTGCTTGAGTTGACCATGACCCATTTTCAGTTGATGTTTCATTTGTAAGCTCAGCCTGAGCCCCTGAGGGAAATTGTTCACCTGGACTTTGATTACTGACTTCATTGTTATCTTTTTTAGCCCCTTTCTCCACAACTTGGCTTTCATTCACTTTTTCAACTTCCGACTCGCCAGTTTTATCATTTGATGCCTTAATGCTATCTGCCAAATCATGTTTCCTCTTATTCTGATACAAACTAGACTTATCTTCCTCTGAGGTATTCTCATTTAAGTCTCCTTGCCCCACAATATTGGCTTGACCATCATTAGATTTTGTCTCTCCACCCACTTGGTTTACTTGTCCGTCAGCATGCCTTACAGTCACATCTTTGTTCTCAGCTTGTGCCTCACTACTTGTTGTTGTCTCTTCAATAGGCTTTTCTTTTGGTTTCTCTTCAGGTTTCTCGTCAAGTTTTGGTTCAGGCATCTTTGATGGCTTCTTATCATACTTATGTTGATAAGTTTCTTCCGGTTTCTTCTCCTTTTGATCTTTATGTACGTCAACATAGTCAAATTCATGTGGATTCCTTGTATCTTCCGATGCTTTCTTTACATCCTCAGACAGACCACCTTGGTTATTGTCTACTTTTTTAGCAGTACTATTTATGGAGCTATCGGTCACTTGATCTTTCACATCGTTCTTGCCCGTTTTTGGAATGGGCATGTCTACATTTTGACCAGGAACAATGGATGATGATGTCATCATCCACACACCGACCAAACATAGGGCTACAAACACCACAATTGTCACTGTCGAGCAGTAGTTGTTTGATGGTGGCTGTTGTCTTCTGTTGTTGTCTATCCTAGCATACTTCCCTTGTGCCATGTTTTTATGTCGATTCAATCAGAAAATGCCTTCAAAACTACAAAATTAAGGTTTCAACCCACATCACAACGCTAGTTCAATAACTACCATGGCAAAGACAACAAACAACAATTCTATATTTTTTCCTGATGCCAAAAAGAAATGAAACAACCAATCCTCATATTAAAGATCAACCATGATTTGAATTTCAACAACTAGTTTAACATTCAAGAGGGGGAAATTGCATGAAAAATCTATTCCAAACTAGACGAAAAAAGAGCTTGCCCTGTTGAGCAAATACCAAAAACTACGAAAATGTTCACATCCCACAAAGATTATGAGCAATATCGGCTATTCAACCAAGATTCAGAAGGACAAACGACAAAAAAAAAAGATAGAAAACTGATGGCATTCGATACACATAAGGATGAAATGATCAAACTTAGAAATGAACATGAATATCTTTGCATGAATTATATCGACACATAATCACAAATCATTTACATAGTTGCGAAATCCCTAGAATCCCAATTGAAAAAATGGATAAAAATCGTGTACCTGGCGAGAAGAAAGCAAATTCGTGCCGAAACTTCTTGTCCCCGCTATCTATCCATCTTGGTGAGTCGGAACGATGAGAAGAAAATGGTGGGAGAGGAAAAGAAAGAAGAAATCAAAAGGTTCTAATACTTCAAATGGGATTTTATGTATAAACAACACATTTGTAGAGAATGGTTGAAGGAAACCAGAGAGGTGGTTTCAATCCAATTCAAGAGAGAGCCCTTCAATCCTCGATTTCTCTACTTGTTTCGGACGAAAGAAAAGAGGAAAATCCAAAACAACAAACAAGAGATAAAATTAATTATTTACAGAATACTTGTCCTCACAAACTCAAACTTTTGATGGGATTTTTATTGGGCAATGAGGATGGACAAGAAAGAATGCCACTACTAAAATGAACGTGAATTCTTTATACTCTATGTAATTTTAAGCCTTTTCTAATTATCATTTTTTTAAAAGCTTTTTATAATTTTGGTCCATATACGCTGGTGCATGCATGCCCTTGGAAAAATAAATGCTTTCATTTTACCATGCTGGGCCGATTGTAGAAATTTGTCCTAAGTTTGATTGGGTAATTTTGGTACGTGTGAAATCATTAATGTAAAATAATTATGTTATTTTATAAAATGAGTTGTTTAATGAATTAATTCTAATCACATGTTTCAATCTCACACCATTGGAGTCATATCAACTCCAGCTTCTCCCAATCAAATTGTTCTATTCAAATTTTATGCTATCAAGTCAATTTGATCATCAAAACAAGACAATTAGATAAAATTGATCAATTAAAATTTCTCATCCAAACAGCCGTAGTTCAATCATGTCATGCTCCTGCCCATACAAATGCAACCACGTCTTTGCGTCTAACTCAATCGACAATCAATTAAAAGCTTGTCACCTTAGAAGCTCAAAGATAATTGAATTTTTTTACTGATTATTTTTCCGCTTCATTCCTCAACTCAACGAATTTTTAACTTTCCTGAAACATGTATCAGGAGATAGCATGTACTACTAACTCACCTCTAACCGATACTTGTTGCCCACAATGTTGTGGATGCAAAGAGTGATGTGTGCGTTGCAACGCTCTTTGCCCTAGTTTTCACTAGAATCTCCTTCTTAGTGATCTCGATTCTTCTAATGGACCATCTTGACTTGAGATGACCAATTTGATGACGATGAACACCATGAGAACGTTGTTGGCCATTGAGACTCTCAAGGTCGCCACCATGTTAAACAAAAAGATCGGATGGTGGTGGTCAATGTGATCAACGATGACCAATTTGGGGTCGTCACGGGGCCTAGGGGTGGCATTTCGGTTATAACCGATAACCGATCGGCCGGTTATCGATTAACCGAAATAATCACTCTCCCTACCGAAAACCGCCCGTAATAGACAGAGGTTTCTCGGTTATCTCGGTTATCGGTTAACCGACTCACTTTTAAGACCAAAAACCATGTCGTCGAGCCTCCGATAACCGACCGAAGTTCGGTTACTTCGATTACCGGTTAGTCGATAACCGGTCGGTTATCGATTTAACCGGCCGGTTAACCGGTAACCGGTAACCGAACGGCCACCCCTAACGGGGCCGATCTATACGTGGCCGAGATCTCCCCGGCCTGGTTCCGCGACTCCCTCGGCTCACTACCACAGGTAACATAACAAACCCAACTCTCTAGTTAAGCCCACCTACATATATATACAATTAATACGCAAGCCATATTTTGACGGGTCAATAGCAAAAAAATGGTCACGTTGTTAACAAACAAATCACTTATGTTTTCAGTTTTTAACATATTGTTTGCTTACATTTTCACTCACTAGACAATCGATCAATTCCGTCAATTTCCATTCAAAAATTCACCAAAATCAATTCAAACCCCATAACACACGAGCCTCGCAACCATTTCAATAGTCTTAGTCAAGCAAAGCCCAGCAACGACTAATCAGAGCCAAGACTCAGAGACTGACTATTGTGTGTATTTCTCCAAGTTATGTCGTACTAGGATTTTAAATTCACTACATACTACAAAACGATATCGGGTGTAAATTGTAGTTATGTATATGAGATGGATAAGAAATTACTAAAATGATTGAAATGGCGGATCACCATAAATGTACAATATCACTAGCCTAGCCCACCAAACCGGCCCAATAGCCCACAGCGAAATCTCTCCTCACAACTCCCAAGGGTTCTCTTATCCACCAACTGTTCCCATCTGCACACGTGAGAATGAGACCAATTTTCTCGTTCCATCAGTCCAGTCTTTTTTTAATCTTTTTTTTCCTTCTGCTTCCCGAGTCATTGAAAAAGGAAAGGAAAATAACGTCTCAACAGTCAACTGGGAACACTACTGAAAGCTCTTCCATCTGCATTTGCATGTTCCATCAATGGCTTCTCTCCTGAGGAACTCCGGTAAAATCACCACCACCGCGGGTCTCATCGCCAGACCGGGTTTTCAAAGCGGCCGCGGTTTCGATCTCTCGAGTTTCAGCGGCGGAGCCGCTCCCTTCTCCGCTCCTCGTCGATTTCAGACAACCGAATCGGACATTCGGGTGGATTCCCACTGCTATGATGACGAAATCAGTCAGGTAGAACTAGCTTCGACGATTCTGCTTTATCTTTTCTATCGGATTATGAACTATTGTAGGCTCAATTGGCAGCGACGTTGCTTGTTTGTACCTTTTCTTCTGTTCGTCCGGGCTTTGGTGTTTGGTGTTTTGCTAATGGTTGCTTTTATCTGTGATGATCTTGGCGGGAACTGATAATCCAAATTCGCCGTTTGCAAATGTTATCAACTAGTGGTTCTCCCCTCTCGGTTCCAAAACGTGCTTAACTGCCATGATTCCATTGAAATTTTGCAGAAATTCAGTGTGTTGGGAGGGAAAGTACCATATTCCTCGGGGATGAGATTCACTTCTGAATTGCCGGAGGAGAAGGTTCCCTGCTACCGTGTACTCGACAACAACGGTCAGCTAATCGACTCTAGAAACTTTGCTGGGGTACTTTGACTCAAATATCTGCTCCTGTTTCGGTACCGATAAAAGCATATGTTTATTTATGAGGATGATGTCTTACTTGTACTGTTGTTGGAACCAGATCAGCAAAGAGATTGCTATGAAGATGTACACTGATATGGTGAAACTGAACACCATGGACACCATCTTTTATGAAGCGCAGAGGCAAGGAAGGATTTCGTTCTATGTTACAACTACAGGAGAGGAGGCGATCAATATTGCATCAGCAGCAGCACTCAAGATTGATGATTTCATTGTCCCTCAGGTTTTATGGAATAGTAAATAGTACTCTCATTCTCTCTTTGCACTAATTCATTGCTTCATTTAGATACTTCTGTTATCATGATTTTGATAGATCCATGAGTAGATTCATATGTGCATTGTTTTTTTTAGGGTAAAGAAAAATAATCCGCTGATGACTGGTGCAGTATAGGGAGCCAGGAATTCTCTTGTGGCGCGGTTTCACACCTCAAGATTTTGCTAACCAATGCTTCAGCAATAAATTCGATGATGGTAAAGGAAGACAGATGCCTGTGCACTACGGATCGAAAAAGCTTAATTATTTCACTGTTGCATCGACGATTGCGTAAGATGATGACCCTTGCAAATTTTGTTGTTTTGCAATTCCTTCACCTTTGGGTAGAAGGGAACATTACAGATTTTGCTATTGCCTTCGCAGTTCACAACTTCCGCACGCTGTTGGTGCTGCATATTCCTTGAAGATGGATGGCAAAGATGCTTGTGTTGTTGGGTACTTTGGTGATGGCGGTTCCAGTGAGGTAACAAATATTCTATTTCACACTGTTTTTTTTTTCTCTCATGTGATTACAATTGACTGATTCAGAAAGCTGCTTAGGCAATTAACTGCCTGAATCTTGATCTTCTGAGGCAGTAATGTGATTTCCTAGAGGGATATAACTTACCTGGCTTGAAAGATCAAATATGGGGTGCTGTCCACTCTTGTAGCAATTCTTAGGGACCATGAGTGTGATCAGGTCACTGATTGGTATGTTTTATCTGTTGTTCTGACTTCTGATCCTTGAGAGTAACCCTCTCTCCCTTCACCAAGGATGGTGAATATTTATTTGCCCATTTGTCATGTTTTCTGCTGGGGCTTTCCTTTTCTTATGCATACATGATTCTGCCAGAGAATCATCATGGGTAGATAAACATGATTGGTTTCTCATTTATACTCTGAGGTGGCACAAATAGGACTTATAATTTTAATTTAAACTGCTCTCCTTTATTATGCTTTTGATTCTTTCTCTAACACGTTATGTACTGATAGGGAGATTTCCATGCTGCTTTGAATTTTGCTGCGGTCTTGGAAGCTCCAGTCATCTTTCTCTGCCGGAACAATGGATGGGCTATTAGTACACCAGCTTCAGACCAGTTCCGAAGTATTCTTCCCTCCTCTGCATTCTTTTACTTTTGGAAGAGTCTAAAATCTGTGTCTTATGGTCTTCTTACTGTGTGATTGGTAGGTGATGGAGTTGTGGTTAAAGGGCAGGCTTATGGAGTTCGCAGCATCCGTGTAGATGGTAATGATGCTCTTGCAATGTACTCTGCAGTTCGTTCTGCTCGGGAAATGGCAATAACTGAACAAAAACCCATCCTGATTGAGGTGAACTTTGTTTCTTCTTCTACTAAAAGATAAAGTGTTTTACTTAAATCATTTCATCAAACAGGCCTAGAGCATCATGCATGAAAGTTGTACAACGACAAAATGTTGCAAACAAACATTTATAGACAATCAACCTCAAATATAGAATGACCCATGAAGGTAGATGTTACATATATCCTAAAAAAGTTAACAACGAAGGTATTGATAAATACATATATGTAAAATGTCAACAACAAGGGATCACCATTTCGAAATTATTCACTTTGATTATTTTTCTCACCCAGTTTGAGTTCTACTATATGCTTCTGGTAACATTTTCTTCAAAATAATCTCATAGAATATCTTACGCGAGCATTTCATTGGCAGGCTGTAACGTACCGAGTAGGGCATCACACCACATCGGACGATTCCACTAGGTACCGTCCACTTGAGGAGATTGAATGGTGGCAAATGGCACGGAACCCTCTGACTTTATACCGGAAGTGGTTGGAGAGCAACAGTTGGTGGAACGACGAGGCCGAGGCAGAGCTTAGAAGTAACTCCAGGAAGGAGGTAAGAAACTGTGATTCGCTAAAAGTTCTTCACCTCTCTGTTTCTGCTGATTGATGTCATTCTCTATACTGTTGCTTTAGCTAATATGCTTCATGTACTATGTGTCTATCCATGCTTAATGAGTACGTCTCTGATGACTCACATGTCATGTATAATTAAAGTCCAGTCTTTTCCCCCTCAACCCTTCATTCAGTCCCCGATGGTGGACGCGATTGAGGGGCAAAATGGAGATAGCTGGTGCACGTAACATTTGAGTCTCCAGTGATGTGTTTATTAAGGATGATCGCACTCACCAGTAACTGATTTAGATGGCATCATACAGAAACTTGTTGCTTAGAAGTTACTGGTAGTATAGGGACTAGCATTTATCGTCAATCCTTACTAAACTGCTCTCTCCAAATTGTTCCCTGATTGAACCATGCCCTTCGCTTGGAAAAAAAAACAGCTTTTGAAGGCCATTCAGGTAGCAGAAAAGATCGAGAAGCCGCCTGTCGGGGATATGTTTACAGATGTCTATGATGCCGTTCCTTCCAATCTGTTTGAGCAAGAGAAGTTGCTGCAACAGACTGTCACGAGGTACCCGCAAGACTACCCATCTGATGTTCCAGTCAGAGCTGTTCCTTCCTCATGAAGTTTGTATCTTGTAACCCAAGTTATCTGTTACTTTGTCAGCTGATTTGAGTTCTAGGCCTATTTGAGCCTTGAATAATTGTAAAGATAAAAATGTAGCAAACTGTGCGACATAAATAATAACACGCAAGTAAGATTAAGAGCACTGAAGCCGAGTAGACCAACCCTAATATTTTGATCTGGTATTCGATTTACACAGTAATCATGGTTTTATGTAGGTCACATTTAATCCTTATGTCACTACTCCTATGGAAAGTTCTGTACGAGTATTTTCGTGTGTGTCCGAGTATAGATACTCTTTAGATCTTCATTTGCAATCTTGATCGTATCTCTAATTATGTTATGGAGAAAGAAAATCAGATTGCTGAATGGGGAATCTGAATTCAGGTAGAATAAGAGTTCCTTGGTGTGCAAGTAGCATGTACAACAATTCGGTTTTTAGACCGACCCCTAGTCGAAATTTGAAACAAATTGATAATGGTACATTGTTTTATTAACAAATTTTGGAAATTTTCATATATCTTAATCCAATCAATCTTTCGTTCTATTTCATCAGATTGAATTGAATTAGATGTAACACAAGTTCATAGGATTCTCTTCCGTAGGTCGATCTGCTGAATACAAGAACAAAAAGTCGTCGGGCCACGTTCAAGTAAAAACACGCACCGGGGCGGGAATAATTGCGCGTTTTCCAATTGGCGCACGATAGTATAACCCCTCGTCACGCGAACATTTATATATTCCCTATTTGTTTTTTTTTTCTTTTAATTCGAGCATTTTAAAAAAATTAATTACTTTACTCCAGAGTTCGTGCCTCCGTCCCATTTTTGTCTTTGTTGCGCTCGCTTTTTTTTTTTGTAACAACAGACCGCCAAACCAATCCCCCACCCAACCGCCGCCGCTCCTGAACCGCGTCGCCGCCGTATATCTCCGGCCTCGCCGTCTCCAGGAGCAGATTTTGCGAGATCCAGTGTCGGCGGAACCTCAGTAATTCCGATACCTCCCCTTCTCCACTCCCGTAAGTTGGAATCCGCTCAATTCCCAGTTGGCTCACCTCAAACTCTCTCTCTCTCTCCCTCTCCCCATTTCTTCCTCCCCCGGCCATTCTACTGATCACACTTCACATACTTCTCCTTCTTCGTCTGCTCAGTTTCGGCGATCCTCCCCTGACGAGTTAGCGGGGGAATTATTGAGGTGGTCGTGGGGCTTTGTTTGGGGGGATAGTTAGGGTTTCTCGTTTTCTGGAGTAGGATATAGTTAGTATTTCGATTGAACAACTGGTAGAGCCGGGGAACTTGGCGTGCTGTGGATAATTAGGGGTTTGATGAAGGTTTAACGGTGGTTTTTTGCTAGCTAAGTTTGTGTGCCTGGTGGTTATCAGTTGAATCTTTCCTTTTTCGGGATGGGAAGGCGATCAGAGCTGATCCGATCTGATTTCTAAGGGGTAGTTCGGGCTGATGATGATAGGCTGACAATGGTGAGGCTTCTGGGACTTAGTCTCGGAGAATCGGCAGAGTCGCCAAGGGAGATCACGTCGCGGAGCAACTTGACGAGCGAGTCCAGTGAGAACGGGTGGCTGATCAGGTTCTTTGACTCTGCGTTTTTCTGCGAGTGGATTGCTGTGAGCTACCTGTACAAACATGAGCACTCGGGGGTGCGCGATTACTTGTGTAACCGAATGTACACGCTGCCGTTGTCCGGCATAGAGAGCTACCTGTTCCAGATTTGTTATATGATGATACACAAGCCAAGCCCATCGCTGGATAAGTTTGTGATTGATATATGCTCCAAGTCGCTGATGATTGCTCTTAAGGTGCACTGGTTTTTGCTGGCTGAGCTCGAGGATTCGGATGATAATGATGGGATTAGTCGGATTCAAGAGAAGTGTCAGATCGCTGCTACTTTGATGGGAGAATGGCCTCCCTTGCTGAAGCAGCGTAATGAGAATTCAAGCTCTGGTAGTAAAAACCAGATGCTAAATAAGCTTTTATCATCGAAGCAGAAGTTCTTATCTTTGACTTCCTCACCACCTGCTCAAAGATCCGTGTCTTTTTCACCTTCATCAGGTAATCATTTGCCAGATGATGGTGGCCAAGGCTCACCAGATAATAAACTTTTCAAGAAATTCATCCCTGGTCCAAAGGTCAGGGATGCTCTACTATTTAGAAAATCTATGGATAAAGATGATGAAGATTGTGAGAAGGATGGGTTTCTTAAGAGGCTTTTGAGGGACAGCAGTAAAAGAGAGGAGGAAGAGTTGACGTCAAGCTCTGATGGCTTTTTCAAGAGGCTCTTGAAAGATTCAAATCGATCTGAAGATGATGAGGTGACGTCTAGCTCAGATGGTTTTTTCAAGAGGCTTTTGAGGGATTCAAGCAAAGGTGAAGAGGAGGAGTTGACTTCACCATCAGATGGGTTCTTCAAGAAGCTTCTGAAGGATCATAACAGAGGCGAGGAGGAGGAGTTGACAGCAAGTTCGGAGGGTTTCTTTAAGAAATTGTTTCGTGATAGTAAGGGTGAAGGAGACGACCGGTTACTCTCTAAATCAATGGAAGACGATGACAAAGATGGGTTTTTTAGGAAGTTGTTTAAGGAGAAATTCGATGACAAGAAGGACGGGAATGAAAGGAATGAGGACGAGAGGATGAATGCTATGGAGAAATTTGGTAAATCAGCGGAGGATGATGAAAAAGATGGATTCTTCCGTAAATTGTTCAAGGACAAGTCCGATGACAGGAAACATGGTCCTGATAAGGGCAATGAAGGGAATCATGTCAATGGCGAGGAAGAAGAATCTTCAGATATTTCTTTGTTCCGGAAGTTATTTCGAGTGCACCCTGAAGATTCCAAAAGTGAATCGGCTAATGAAAGTAGTAGCAATGGACATGTGAGCTTGTCTGAAAGCAGCCCTGGGACTGAGAAATTTTTCCGCAAACTGTTCAGAGACCGGGACCGTTCAGTTGAAGATTCTGAATTGTTGAGTGGAAAGAAAAACAAAGAGGTGCGTTGAACTTAACTAGATAATTATCATGTCGATGGTCTAGTGCAGTTGTTGTTCTTTGCAGCGATCTCCTCTTTAATCATAACCTTCTGCAATCGTCTGATTTGATTTTTCTACCCAGCTTCTTTATGTATGTGGTTGAGATTATGTGGGGCAGTTCATAATAGTAACTGTTGGAATTTTGATAGTCCCGAAGGGATGCATGAAGTATCTTTTTTTGGAATTTTGATAGTCCCGTAGGGATGCATGAAGTAACATTTTTATTTGCCAATCTGATTCGTGGTTGAAATAGGAACTTCTGTTTGCAAAGAACCATAGGCTATATAAGTCTGAATCACGGAGATTGGGAAGGTTTTTAAACCAGGTTTCACTGGAAAGAATTAGAGGTTAAGTGAGAGATATTGTGGTTTTGTATTGCTATTATATTTCAGCTGCATTTGGTAATTTTCTGGGGAGTTTAGAACCTGCAGGCCTAAACCTGCAATATTTTCTTGAACTGTCAGCCCCATTACTAAGGATGAAAATGCTCAATATTTTTGTCTGCTCATGAGCCAAGTCATCTGCCTTGACGAAAGGTTATCTGATTGATGAGAATGTGAAACTTGTTTGAAGCAAAGATTTGTTGCTGAGACTGCTCTCCTTATCTGATTGGTGAGAATGTGGATCTTGTTTGAAGCTGAAAAATGCTACTTGGGACATAATTTACTTATGTTAGATTAGGTTATGTAGGGAGGTTGAGGGGAAACAGGGTGATATTGAATTGCATGTGGTATTGAGTGTTTCATACGGTGTGTAGGTTGAGTGATTCTTCAACGCTGTTTTGGCTGTTATAGTTACTTGCAACTTTCTAATCTGGCTCTTATGTGCTCTCATTCTTGCAGAAGTTCCCCGGTTCACCTAAGCAACATAATGAAAAGTCAAATGCAAAACCCCCACTTCCAAATCACACGGCATCACAATTGCGGAAAGGAGCATACCATGAATCATTGGACTTTGTACTGTCATTATGCGACACTTCCTATGGCCTAGTGGATGTATTCCCTGTTGAAGATCGCAAAAGTGCCCTTCGAGAGGTTTACCATTTCTGTTGCTGTGAACTTTTTTGGATTCTATAATAATAATAATAATAATAATAATAATAATAATAATAATGATGATGATAATAATAATAATAATAATAATAATAATAATAATAATAATAATCATACATAGGTTCCTGGCATCACTTACTAGTGCTGTGTCGGCATCTAACTGGAACATATGTACTTAAACTGTTTCTAATAGCATTTTCTATTTGTTGCTTCTATTCCAGTCACTTGCGGAGATCAATTTGCATTTAGTTGAGGCTCAACAAGCTGGAGGTTAGTGCCATGACCTTAGTTTTCTTGACGGGAAAACATTTTATTATTCAAAAGGCTAAAGCTAGTAAATATTTAATTAGTCAACTAGTGGTTATATACGTGAATGCTTACGACTTTTTTGTTGTGGATTATGTTTGCTTGTCCTTGTTAGCTTATGTTTGTGGGTATCATCTGTAGTTGGAAATTTTGTCTTATTCTTTTTGTTTGACGAGGACTATGTTGTTTTAAGATAATCTAGTAATGACAGAGAAATTGTCCGATGCCCCAATCCTTCCCCATTGCATTGTTTTATTGGTTGTTGCAGACTGGCCATATTTTGTCTTTTTTACCCTTTGATCTGTTTACGAAGATTTTAATGGAAGGAAGATAGAATTGTAAATGTGCTCCTTAATCTCCCCATGCTCATTTAAGAAAAGATCTCTTCATTCGGACATCAACTCACTAATTTGAGGTCATGATCATATTATGAGTGGTGAAGTATTTTTACCCCCATTCCAATTACCAGCTCTTCTTCATGATGTGAGACTAGTGACAACCTCTTGCTTTCTCAATATATTTGAATGCTGCTCCCTTTGATTTGTCTCTTCTAGTGTTTGGAAATGACAACTAGGGAGGTATATTCATGATTTTCTATTCCCA